GCACCTGCTTTGCATACAGCTGAGCCAGGTTCAATTCCTTGCACCATGTCGAGCACCACCTGCTTGGCCCCAAAACCAAAATGACAATAATAATAATAGTACAGAAGTTAAGGCATATGCCTTGCATGTGGACAACTGCAGTATGATCTCTGAAACTACATGATCCCCTACCACAACTAAGTGTGATCCTGGAGGAGCCTAAACACCGAATGACTGAAGGAATCCCAGACCACTGCTTGGGAAGCACTCTACAAAATAAGTAAACAACTAAGAAGACAAAACCAAAAAATAATCTCTTAAACAATGTTAAAGTTGGGGCCAGAGAGATCATAGTACAATAGGTAAGGCATTTGCCCTGCACAACATCAACCCAGAATCCATCTCTAGCACCACATATGAGTCTCACTGAGGTTCAACCCTGAGCCCAAATCCAAGAGGAAGCCCTGATACATGTAGCCACTTCTGCACCTACCACTACCCCCTTACCCCCCCCCCCACACACAAATTAATATCAACCTTTTTTAAGTTCAACTTAGAATGTAAATATTTTCTGTCAAATCCAGGGCCTCACACACAAGCATATACTACTGCTGAGTCACACCCCTGTTCCAAAGCACAAAATTAACTGAAATAGGGGAAGATATAGCTCTGTGGTAGGCTAGATGCCCTGCATGTGTGAGATCTCAAGTATCACAAAACAAATATTTTCTCAGTCTTCCTTCCCTCCAAGAACCTTGGAACAGTAAAAAACTTAAATGGTAGTAGAGAACTAAAGAACTATCCCACATGACTGGACAAAGCTATAATCTGAATGTTTATCCCTATTATATACCTTAATCACAAAATGGCAAAATAATTTTTTCAGATGTTTTTGAATAATCACCATTAATTAAGGAATTGATCTTTTTTATTTAATAGCTTAATTCAATCAATCTGATGTCTTGAAAACTTCCAATTGTTGACACAAAACAAAGATCTAGGTTTAAGATAGAAGTTCTAAATCTGAACTAGAACAATCAAATGTAACTACGATACATCTCTAAGTTTTATTCACTGGAAAGCAACAGATGGCCTTTGTTCCTGGATGAAACGACAGACATAAGACATGGGGCAGAAAGCATACAAAATGAACTTACAATGTTATAAAGGATAACTAAGAACCCAGATAACTAGTGATGTGATATAAAGAGAATAAGTCAAACCCCAAAATTTAGCAATTAGGTGACAGGGAGATAGCTCAAGGGGCAGGAACACATACTTTGCATGCAGAAGTCCTAGATTTGATGCCTAGCATCTCATAGTACCCCAAAACACTGCCAAATGTGGTCAAAATTTGAAACAAACAAAAAAATAGGGCAACTTGAGATCAGTTAAGGCTTATACTAGGAATGTTTAAAATATCAAATGTTATAATTCACAAATAATAAAAAATTAATCATAATGGGATGAAACAACTTGCATTTAAAAAAATGGGAGTAAAGAAGGGTCTGAGTTGTGGCTCAGTGGTAAAGCACATGGCTTATATATGTGAAGCTCTGGGCTCAATCCCTGATGAGAGGGAGGGAGGGAGAGAGGTATGGAGGGAGGGAGGGAGGGAGGGATGGAGGGAGGGAGGGAGGAAAACTGGTAGGGCCAGAGTACAGTGGGGTAAGTCTCTGGCCTTGTCAACTTCAGTTTCATCTCTAGCACTGTGTATGGTCCTCTGACCCCCACCAGGAGTGATCAGGAGCGCCAGGAATAAGCCCTGAGCACAGTAGGGTGTGACCCAAAACCAAAAAAAATATTGGTAAAAAGAAAAAACAAAAATCAAGTATTATCTTACCACCAAGGAATTAAGTAGTAGGTATGGAAAATTCTTTTTTCCCTAAAAACCAAAAATCTTCTGTACTAGATACAAAATGAGAAATGTAATAAAAATTCTGTTGTAAGTGTGAAATGGAGGGGGAATATTTTATTTACCACATGCATAAAGCAACATCATTAGGATGAATCACAAAAATCACACCTATTAAATAGTATCCTGATTTCCACATAAGGAATTTAAAGGAAACACTAGAGTTTCACAGTAAAGTCCTTATGTCTAAACTAAGTTTTATATAGGCACCTCTAAAAAACAAAACACAAAAAAAATAAGAACTGGGACAGGGAGATGACTCAAAGGGCTAGATCTTTTGCAGACCACAACACCCAAAAGGAGAGAGAGAACACAGGGGATTGCCCCGCCACAGAGACGGGGGGATGGGGGGATGGGGGTGGGAGGGATATTATCCATGGTGGTGGAAAATGGGCACTGGTGGAGGGATGGGTATCTGATCATTGTATAATTGAAACCAAAGCACAAAAAATTGTAAATCTACAACTTTAAAAAAAATAAAATAAAATAAAGGGGAAAAAAAAAAAAAAAAAAAAAAAGGGCTAGAGCACACGCTTTACATAGGGTCCTGGGTTTGATAAAGCCTTGAAGCACTGCTGCGAGTGATTCCCTGAGTATTAAATAGGAAATAGCCTCTGTGTACTGTCAACTATGGCCCCAAAATAAACTAAAAATTAAGCCATTAAAAACGAAAACAAAAAAAGATTAGAAAAATAGCTCAACAGGCTACAGCATTGCAAAGCCTGGTGGAGGTCCAGGTTTGATCCCTAGAACTGCATGGTCCCCAGAACACTGCCAGGAGCAAACCCCACAAGCACATGGCTGGGAATCATCCCTTTGCATCACTGGATGTAACTCTCAAACAGAAAAACAAATACAATGAAATCACAAACAAAAAACCCCTCAAAACTCTGATTTTAACATATATTTCAGAAGCAATACAAGGAAAACAACGTTTAAAAGATTCTTATGGAGTGAGAACACAGTGGTAGGGTGTTTGCCTTGCAAACTGCCGGCCTGGCTGAGCCGGGTTCGATTCCTCCGCCCCTCTCGGAGAGCCTGGCAAGCTACCGAGAGTATTTTGCCCTCACGGCAAAGCCTGGCAAGCTACCCGTGATGTATTCGATATGCCAAACACAGTAACAACAAGTTTCACAATGGAGATGTTACTGGGCCCGCTCGAGCAAATTGATGAACAACGGACAGTGCAGTGCAGTGCTATTTACTTTGAATATGCGGCTGGCTTTAGAACACAATTCTCTAAAATTTTAACAATTCTCTCTTGTATTATCTCATTTACCTACATGGTTTTCAATTACAGTCTTGGTATCCACTATCCTGCTCCTTAATACATTCTTTAGCCTGTGGCATGCGGTACTATTTTGTCCAGGCTGAAAAAGTCTGAAATGAGTGTGCAATATTTGTAAACAACAACAACAAAAAATTTCTATTTTTTGGTTTTTTAATTGGTGATGATTATGCAGAAACTCCTTTACTTTGATGGGAATGGTTTTTTTTTTTTTTTTTTTTTGCTTTTTGGGTCACACCCGGCGATGCTCAGGGGTTACTCCTGGCTCATGCACTCAGGAATTGCTCCTGGCGGTGCTCGGGGGACCATATGGGGTGCTGGGAATCGAACCTGTGTCGGCCATGTTGGCTGCGTGCAAGGCAAACGCCCTACCCGCTGTGCTATCGCTCCAGCCCGGGAATGGGTTTTAAAAAAAGTAACTGTTTTTGATTCCTTACATTTATACTCTATTTATTATCTGATGCACTCTAACAGTTTGGTTAGGTATGAGAAATAGACACTGAAACAATTTAAAATCAGCAGGCTTATTTTATTAAAAAATAAAAAATTAAAATGTAAGGGCTGTGTGTTTTTTCACTTAATTTTTCTGTACCTAATAATGCTTAGAAGATTCTTAAATAAACACTCAAAGGAGGGGTTAGGACTAGTACAGCAGTTTGCCCCAAGTTCGATCTCTGGACCTTATGGCCTCCAAAGAATCACTGAATGTGGCTATGGAGGCACCTGGAACCCTGGCAGTCCCTGAGGGCATGAGCAGCACTGTATCATCAGGAACCAGCATTGAACTGCCAGCTCAGTGGCTGAGCATTGTTGGGAGTGGCCTTTGACACTGCTAGGCATAATTTTTGATCCCAACCCCAACAAAACCAGAACTAAGTCGAAGGGTTAAGACTCAAACTCCAGAGGTTTACAAGAAAAAAGGCGGCTGTGTGGCTTTCAAGTTAATACTGACTTTCGGACTTGAGAGTGAGTATAGCAGGTAGGGTGTTGTCTGACATGCACGCTGATGACCTGGGTTTGATACCCAGCATCTCATATGGTCCCCAGAGCACCCACTGGGTGTGATTCAAAAGCAGAAATAGAAAATCAAATAAATACTGACTTGCTTTGAACTATCTTTAGATGGGTCCTCGTAGAAACAGTGTTGTTAAGAGAAGCAGATAAAATATACCCCAAAAAATTACCAGTATGTAGATAAAATCAAGGGAACAGAAAAATAGCTTAAGTAGTAAAGCCCATATTTAGCACACATGAGGCCTAACTTTAACCCCTAGCACTGGCTGGGCTGGGCAAAGTATCATCAAAAATACATACCTTCAATCTCTAATAGTGCTGGATATGGCCTCCCGCGCCCCCCCCCCTTTATGTTTTTTGAAGCTCAAACACATCTGGGATCAACAAGCAGAAATCTGTATTTTATCCAGAAAAGTTGAAAATTTATTTACTGAGGGTAGGAAGTTGGTGGGGGTGGGAAAGGGGGCAGGGGGGTGCAGGACAGCACATAGCTAGAAATGCCCAGGTGTTAACTCCTGGCTCAGCACTCAGGAATCATTCCTGGCAGTGCTTGGGGGATCATATGGGGTACTGAGTATCAAACCCAGGTTGGCTGCATGCAAGGCAAGTGCCTTACTTGCTGCCCAAGTATTTAAAACATCTCTGACTTTTTACATGAATGCTTGAAACAAAGTGGAACACTGCGATACTGTTTAAATAATAAGTGAAGAATCCCCAAACATCCCAAGTCATAGCAATTGTAGAGATACTCTCTACAACCAGAGGCAAATAAGTATTTAATAAATCAGCCACGGACACAAGGTAGTATTTTAAATATGCAGTAGGAACATTTATTTTAACACTTCTAAAAGATATTTCTCCATGCCTGATGATTTGATATAAAAATCAAACCCATCATACTTTCCCCATCAGTCTCTCTACATCAAGGGCAATCAGAAATTTGTACAACATGAATATTTGCTTTTGAAACAAAAATTACAAATTAAGCGATAACAAAAATACACAAATCAACTGGACCCTAAGTGAATTTCTAATGAATTCTTTCCCCTTTTCCCCAATCACCTAGAGCTTCTTTCTTCAGCCTCATTCTGCTCCTTTTCCTTTCTTTGCTTGGCCATGAACTTCTGTTAAAAAGCAATTTGCAACATAAAATATTTATTAGATGCTGCTTTGTTATGTGTACAAACATATCTAACATATTTTATTATATTTACAAATTAAAAGAGCCTAATCCTACAAATAAAGATTAGAAATAGTGTCTTACATTAACATTCATTCCATCTATTCATAAGTCTTCTCATATTTATGACATACAGGCATTATACTTGGTGTTTGGGAATATTCAGTGGCCTGTAAGATTAAGTAAGGCTCTTCACTGAATTTATATTCTAGTGGGGAGATAGGAACAAAATTAAAGTAATATGGAATGATGGTAAACACTGACAAGAAAGAAATGTAACAAGACAACTAAGAATTACTTTTGAGGGAGAATGAGAGGGAGTTTGTACTACTTTAGCAAGGCCCATGTTTGGCAAAAGTAAAAAGTTGTATTTGAGTGCCACCTACAAAGCAGCTACACAATTCAGAGTGGCAGAAAACAAAGGAATAGCAACATGAATACAGGAAGGGAGCAGAGAAGCCTTTCAGGCTTGAAAAATAAAAACTGAAGAACAGTAAACAGTAAAAAATACTTAAAAAAAAAAAGTAAAAGGCCGTCAGGTCAGAGAAGTAAAAAGGAAACCAGATTATGTATATAAAGTGCTTTAGACTTACAAGAAACTGGGTATTATTCTAAATGTAATAATATCAATTGCCCAAATGATAAGTCACTCGGAAGATTTTAAATGGGGGGGGGGGGGGGGGGGGGGGAAGATAGGCTAACTTTAGAGCCTATGCTAAATAAAATTGTTTAAAAACTAAATAAGGGGCTGGAGCAATAGCACCGCGGGTAGGGTGCTGGCCTTGCACACGGCCAACCTGGGTTCAATTGCCAGCATCTCATATGGTCCCCTGAGCACTGCTAGGGGTAATTCCTGAGTGCATAGCCAGGAGTAACCCCTATGCACTGCCAGGTATGATCCCCCACACCCCCAAAAAAGAAAAAAAAAGCTAAATAAAACCAAGTTAGATTGGTTCAAATCCTAAATCTGCCACTATGAGAATTTGGGATTAGATTAGATTTTGGGTTTCGATACTCTAATAAACTTTCTTCTTTAACATGGGTAAAATTAATGCATGGCATGAAATACCATAAAGTAACAGCTCAATAAACGTTATGAGTGTCTATGAATATTTATACAACAAATTTAATATAAATGTCAAATAAAATAAAAATGTTCAGGGGGCAGAGTAATAGTACAGCGAGTAGGATGCTTGCTTTGCACATGGCCAACTATGTTCAATCTCTGACACCCCATATAGTCCCTTCAGCCCTGCCAGGAGTGATTCCTGAGCATAAAGCCAGGAACAAACCCTGAGCACTGTGGGGTATGGCCGGACTAACCCCATCTCCAAACACACATACAACATTCAGAATGAAATCAGAATTGTGATTATTTTTGCTAATGATAATTTTCTACAGCAATGGTTCCCAAAAAAGTAACTTAAAAAAACAAAACTATTCTCCCCGTTTGGTGTGGAGGCAGGGGTTTCTCTAGTAATACATTTAGAAAATGGGTTAAAGCTATACAATTTTTTGAGTAGACAATTTTTAAAAAACATGATACATGCCCATAACTCTGTGAGAGGGGCAAGGTAAGTTTTCCAAATTCAATGGGGCACCACATAGGATTAGTGAAATATAGTACTAGTGAAAGGCAGAATCTGTCTGCTAATGCTACCAGAGGCAAAGACTAAAGACTAGAAGTTGACTGGCAAAGAGGAATAGTGTAAGATAAGATTTTGGATTTAAGAGGAATAAAATGACACAAACCTGCAAAAGTTCTCCAAAAGGGAAAGAATGTATACTGTAAGTTGACATTTAAGTAGTTTTATGATAAGACAATAATACCACCTGAAATTTTTATGAGTTGAGAAGTAAAACAAACAAAAAAAATTACCTCTGTATTTTGTTTATGGCGTGTACTCTTGCAGTGATTTGTCATTGCTTTTTCACCTGAGTAGAAGAGGGAACAAATTGGACAGAAGAACCCAGCCTTCGGTACAAGAAAGTCTAAATCTGTAAGATGGGACGAGAAAGAAGAAAAATCAACCATAATTTATGTATTGGGTATAATCAATTTATCTTAACAAAAATACTAAGCACAGTATATAATATACATACAAACAAAACATACTGGTATTTATCAAGCTATCAAGAACAACTTAGCTTAAAATCTGAGATTTACCCTAGGTCTTTATTTTTTAACTAAGATTTTAATATTCAAGAGGCATCTAGGAAGGCAGGGGATTTCTTCTAAATAGCTATTTAGAAGTAGAGAAAGTAGCTCAGCGGTATGTGGTATGTCATATGCCTCACATCTGTAAAGCCCAGGGTTCAATCACTGGTACCACCAAGACAAAGAACAAGCAAATTAGCAATTCAATGAACTGAGGGCAGTAACTTAAATGGCTGGAATACAAGTTTTGCATGTGGAAGTTCCAGGTACAATCCCAGCGTCCCATTGACATTCAGTCCCTTGCAAACAGTGCTGGGAGACTGTCCACAAACACTGTGCGAGAAATAGCCCCCAAGGCTCAACGGCACAGTCATGGCTCCAGAGCCACAGAAACCAATCTCATAATTATCTAGCTCTTGGCAGAAATACCTCCAGGCTTAATAAGTAAAATATCAGAAATCCAAAATCATGTGGCCGCGGCATCATATGGTTCTCATAACTAACTGCAGAAAACAAATTATTTCACAATGCCTTTTCAGCAATTCTGATTGTTGGGTGTAAACTCTAAACAATAATGGTGCATCTTTGGTTGAAATAATGAATGTAATCAAAGTAGATAGAGCGTTAAGTAGAATTCATCTGCCTCACAGGCATTGGGAGGGGGGGTGAGGGGGGTATATTGCGGTTCTTGGTGGTGAAAAATAAGTACTGGTGAAGGGAAATGTGTTTGATCATTGCATGACTGAGTCTTAAAACCTGAAAGCTTTGTAACTTTTCCCAGAGTGATTCAATAAATAAATAAATAAAAGAAAAAGAAATATATAAAATACATAATATGGTTTGGGTGGGGGTGGGGTGGTGGCAGGAGCGATACTGGGAATACTGGTGGTGGAAAATGTACACTGGTGAAAGGATGGGTGTTCAAACATTGTATGACTGAAACCTGATCATGAAAGCTTTGTAACTGTACTTCACGGTGATTCAATAAAAAATAAATTAAAAAAAAAAAAAAGAATCTTGTTTTAAAAAAGGAAGACTCTCCACAGGCAACTGTCTACTGTAGGAACAAACTGGGCATACAAAGTGCCCCTCAGTTCACCTTAGTTGGCTATAAGCCAAGTTTTTCAGCCTGTTCTGTTTAATTGGAATTTATGTTTGGGAAAATATAAAGTTCTTGCCAGAGCAGCCCAAAAATTAATCAAGTAACATATCCTAGACTTGAAAAGTAGAATTCATCCTTGCCAAGTAAAAACTGCCTAAATAGGATCCTAGGTAAGTTTCTTAATAAATGAGACCATGTCTTGCTTCTACAAAGTACTGAGTTTGATCTCTGGCACGCCCCATGTTGCCAAGGATGAATTCTGACACCTCAACAAAGTATTCTACCCTGCAACACTAGCAGCAGCAACAGCAAGGGTAAAAACAGAACTCCACATCTAAAACTTTTCAGAATTACCAATGTGCAAATCCATCTTAAGTTTCAACTTTAAAATAATTTCCACCCTAAAATAATCATCTAAGCTAGATTTTCACTATTAACCACTGAAACAAAAGAACATTATGATACTAAATTTTTACTTCATAAGGATAAAGAATAAAGTCATTTTCATTTTACCTTCAGAGACATCAGATGTCACTGACGTTCCTAAAGAGTCATCTTCAATTTTCCTGCGTTTTCGTTCTGGTTCTGAATCCTTTAATTTAGATTCTTCATCAACTAAAGTTATTAAAAATTTTGAGGAAAAAAGTTATTTAAAACAGACGAATACATTTTTTAAAGGTAGTATCACAATGTTCCTGCTGTTAAAGATAAATCTATGATTCATCACTCTAAGTAAATCTTCCTAGGCTAATCTCATCTGGCTACTTGTCTATAATTCTTTGATATAAGTAATCAATGGATAAACCTGCTAAATGTTAGTAAATGATTGTAAAGGTACAGCACAAATATTTATTCTAGGGGCCAGAGAAAGAGTAAATGGGGAGAGCATTTGCCTTGCATGTGGCTGACCAGGATTCGACCCACAGCATCCTATATGGTCCTCCAAGCACTGTCATGAGTGATACCAAGAGCAGAGCCAGAAATAACCCCTCAGCACTGCCTGGTGTGGCCCCCCTCAAAAACCAACCAAATCTAAAAATTTAGTTTTTATCTCAGCTCGATACACAGGTTAAATCATTACTTTTATTTCTTTCCCAAAAATGGGAAAAGACTGATAAGAAACTGATGTGTACTAGGTTGCAGAGCTAGTGGCAAAGGTTAAAACCAACTTGGGACTTCAAGTTCAGTGCTCTCTATGTGCAAGTGGGTTGCCCCTTACCAAATTTAGGGAGATAGCTATAAAATATTTTTTTATTCTTTTACTACTCCCATTTTACAGTTTACCTTTACCTAAATGATCTACGAATAAAAAGGTTATTTCCCTTTTAATTTGATGTTTAAAACAGCCTGTCTCATCCTAAAATTTATGTCCTCGCCAGATTTACAAACTTTCTAATACATTTGCCATTACCACTAAAAAGGCATCACATACCCTAAAATAATAGTTATATAATTTAAATAGATTTAAACAAAGAGCTTAATCATTTGCTGTTTTGGCTATACCTGCTGGTGCTCAGGTACTTAACTTGGCTCTGTGCTTAGGGATCACTCCTGATGATGCTTGGGAGACCATATGTGGTGCCTGAGATTATATCCAGCAGCTGCAAGGCAAGAACCTTACCAACTACACTATCTCTAGGGCCCAAAGAATTTAAATTTTTTTCAGATGACTTTTCGTAGCCTAAATGCAGTTCTTATTACAAAATATTGCCCACTACTAGAAATAAACGGCTTGATATTCTTCAGTGAGATGAGGCAGTTCTAAATTATCTGAAGGTGATGTATAACAACACTGACGGTCAGTGTGAGCTGTCAGATTAATAGACCATTAACTATGACCTGATATCAAGAAGAAATGTTTAAGAAAAAGACCAAAAAGGAGTAATTTGCCTGACCATAAACAAAAACCTTTGAGGAAGTGGTAAATACTAACAAATAATTAGAGAAACAAAAGAAATAGGGGCCAAGGATCTAGTTTAATAGTCGAGTGCATGCTTCACAAATGAGGCCCTGTATTTGAGCCCCAGCACAAAAATGTAAATAAAATTGAATCCAATTTGCAAACAGGCAGTCTTTTTAATATTAATTTCATGAAGGAAGTCTAGAAAAGCAGACAAAATACACCTAGTTCAACATAGATGAAGAAAGGAAATGAAGAAAGGAAAGAAGTAGTACTGTTTTGTTCTGAAAGAAAGAGTAGGTGCTAGAGTATTCCAAGGCTAAGGGGCATGGTTTTTTAAATTTATTTTTTAAGTCATTTTTTAAAAAAAGTGTTGGCACCGCAATTTAATGATAGGATTTCACACCACCATCCAAGTGTCTAATTCCCTCCACCACTGTCTCAGTGTCCCCGTCCCTTCAATACTACTCTCTCCATTCCCCATCATTGTTAAGTCCAGGATGACATAGCCATTTTATGTATGAGGAGCCAATGTCGGTTTTAAAAAAAAGAGGACAAACAGAATATGGTGACTCTATTTAACTATGGTAAACAGAAACAAATGCAAACTTATGTGGTGAGTAATCACTGTATATCACTGTCACTGTCATCCCGTTGTTCATCGATTTGCTCAACTGGGCGCCAGTAACGTCTCCATTTGTCCCAGCCCTGAGTGGTGAGTAATAGGCTAATTAATGCAGTAGGTCTTAGGAGAAGGGAATAAAGGTATTACACCTGACCAAAAAAAATTTTTTTAAAAAGGAACACTGTGTAGCAGTACTGAAGGCCCCTGAGATCAGATTTAGTGAATTTGTACTGAGTCATAATAGGTGCATTTTCTTAAAGATAAAATTTAAAAAACCAAATGGTTGACTGAACTTCATCCACTAACTTAAACTGTGTTACTCTCCTCCCACTTACTCTTCTTTTATTAATCTTGCTTTACCTTCATTCATTGAGAACGCCTCTTCACCTTCTGCTGGTTCTGCAGTAAGAGCTTTTTTCAGTGGTACCATTTTCTCAATTCTAACTCTCCTGCTTGAAGTTTTAGCTTTAAAAAGAAGTCTAACTTATGGCTGTGGTAACCACATTTAAGTTGCTTCCTACTCTGAATAACAATTTTTTTAAAGGAAGACTCCTAACATTTATTTTCAAAAATATATTTATTTTTTAAATCTTCAGATATTCCACAATACAAATTACCTATAATCTTCAAATGCCAATTGTAAATTTATTTTCTGATCCATACCCTGCACTGCTCAGGACTCCAGGGATCATTCACGGCAGTATTTGAGGGACCGTATGGGATGCCATGGATCCAAATCTTGTTGACTGCGTAAGGGGCAAATACTGCTATACTACCTCTACAATTTTAACACCTATCTTTTACAAACAAAATAACTTTTAAGAAGAAAATTATTTCTAAATACATATTTAGTTTGTGTTTCTGGCATTTTTCATTCTCAGTTCAATCTTCAGAAATTTTGTTAGAAATTATTTTTATCTCCCTCAAGTTCTCTAAGTAAGCTGATCTATATTCTATAATGTTAAAAAATTAGTTAAGAGTAAAATGGTATCATTAAACATCTTTCTGCTAAAGTCAAGTTTTCTCCCTAATACAGATAGACCAATTTCATCCCAATTCTAAGCTGACTATTCTAGTTTGCTTCCTGTATTTTTTTTTCTTTAAAGATATGCATAAGATCAACTCTAACAGAAATTTGTTAATTTGTACGTGTTGATTAGCACAGTGGGTAGGGCGTTTGCTTGGGTTCGATTCCTCCGCCCCCTCTCGGAGAGCCCGACAAGCTACCGAGAGTATCTCGCCCACATGGCAAAGCCTGGCAAGCTACCCATGATGTATTCAATATGTCAAACACAGTAATAACAAGTCTCACATTGGAGACGTTACTGGGCCCGCTCGAGCAAATCGATGAGCAACGGGAGGACAGTGCTACAGTGCAATGCTACCATCCTCCCACCAGCCACAACAATTTGGTAACTTCGTACTAGTAATAGCATATATTTAACTTTTAGTTATTGATTTTTTTTGGTCCATACCCAGTGGTACTCAGGGTTTACTCCTGGCTCTGCACTCAGAGATCACTTCTGGCAGTGCTCAGGAAAACATTATATGGTGCCAGGAATTGAATCCGGGTCAGCCAGCTGTGTGTAAGGCAAGTCCCCTGCCCACTCTACTATCACTCTGGCCCAATATACTTAACATTTTAAATGCCATATGGTCTGCCAAGCCCATCAGGAGTGACCCCAGAGCACAACTGGGTGTGGTCCCAAAACCGAAAGAAAACAAACTGCTAAAAAAAAAACCCTAAGGAACAACCACTTTTAAATATGTACCTGTTAAGTGTCTTTCAATCGTGCTTTTCAGATCTTCTTCCACAATATTCTCATCTTTTGGACCTACTTCAGACAAGGCTTCAAGTTTTGTTTTCTTTGTGTCCATAGCTCTCTTTTTTCTCTCTCTTTTTTCTGCAGAATGATCATTTTTTCGTGCAAATTCTATTTTCAAATCATTAGCTACATCTTCCTCTTCTCCAACCTCATCAACAGTAACAAAATTAAGTTCTTCTTTAAGACTGTTAAAATCCACTAGAGAATCTTCATCCTCTTCAGTTACTTCATCTAAAGTCACTAAATGCAAATCACTGCTGTCATCTTGTATTTCATCTACAGTAACTAAAGTAGAAGGGTCTTCAGGCATCTGAGAAGAAATGAACCCAATGCTATCTCTTCCGGTATTTTCCTCATCTACTTTAGTATTTAAAGTAAAACTCAGATCTGCCGAATCACTTAAAGGTAGCTCTTCTACTTCTCCAATCTCATCCACAGTCACCAAACGCTCCTGTTTGAGAAGATCTTGTTCTTCAGCCACTGACAATACTGTAACATCTTTAGGTTCACTATGGGAAATGCAATCATCTTGATCAATTAACTCATCTAGCGTAAGAAGTGCATTTGAATTTTTTACCATTTCTTCCATATTTATTTCCTCTTCATCAATGACTTCATCGACAGTGACAAGATTCTGTGATAGATGTGCAGCTGCATCCTCCTCTTCCCCTATCTCATCCAATGTTACAAAAGATAATTCTCCCTCAGCAACATGAGAGGCAGAAGTTTTCCCCTTCTTCTTTAAGTTAAGCTCTGGTGTACTTTTGAGGGATTCCTTTCTTTTTGTCTTTTCTGGACTCTGCTTGGTTTGAAAAGGGTTCACATCTTCTACCACCTCATCCACAGTAACACATTCATCCAAATTAAATGAAAATAAGAGCAGTTCCTGTTGGCAATATATATAGGAAAAAAAAAAGTCACAGAACTATCAACTACTGATAATTTGCTTGGCATGTTCTAAATAATCATAGACAGCCACTTCCTACAGACTAAAATCAGGGTTGAAAAGATAGTACAGGAGTTAATGCACTGTCTGCAAGTGGCTGGTGCTGGTTGGATACTCAGCATGATATGATGCCCCAAGTATCACTGGATGCAGACCTGGAGGTCCTGAGCACCACTAGGAAGGCTAAGATAATTCTCAGCACTGTAGGGCCCAAACAGAACAGCATCCTTCAGCACTTCCTTACATTATTGGCCCAGTTGGCTCAGAACTGCTAGATGGTCTTTGAGCCTTCCAAGACATCACTTGGGAGATCTTCTGCCCTCTGTCTCAAAACCCTGAAATTAGTCAAGAATGTGGCACTGGGCATGTCTCACATTTTTGTGGCCCTAGACTGGATCCCTGGTACTACAAAATGAATTAGTTATAACTCACAGCATAGATAATTCATCTTAATAGCTTCAATTAGATTTACAAATATTTCTTCAAAGATATACAAATTTCAATGTTAAAAATGGTATTTCAAACATAGTAGTTATATTGTGACATTGACCTCTTTATATATGCAATATTTAAGGCATGCATATTCTACAAATTTCTGTATTTAAAATTACCACTAAAAGGTAAAGGTAAAGGTAAAGGCCCTCCCGTTGATCGTCGATTTGCTTGAGCGGGCCCAGTAACGTCTCCATTGGAGACTTTGTTGTTACTGTGTCTGGCATATCGAATACTCTCGGTAGCTTGCCGGGCTCTCCGAGAGGGGCGGAGGAATCGAACTCGGGTCGGCCATGTTGGCCGCTTGTAAGGCGAACGCCCTACCCGCTGTGCTATTGTTAAATGTAAGTGCATTAAAAAACTATTAAAAACAAATTCAGCAACCCTCCTAACACACTGAATAATATTCTATATCAATTAGCACATAATGATATTGGGATATACTATATTCCCACTATATATAAAAGTTCCATTATACATACTGGTTAACTATAATACATATATCCTGTAATCTTGAGACAGAAAACCATTAAAAAGCCAATAAAACCACCATAATCTTAATTTTGCTTATATAAAGATACACACATACTTTTCAGTAATAATGTTTCAATAAATAAGAGGCAAATTCATACCCCAGAAAAAGTGTGAGTGTATGCCCATGCGTGAGAGAGACAGAAACTGAGACAAAGAGAGAGACAGAGACAAAGACACTGTAGTGGTGGAAAAAAGGAACAGAATAAATTTGTGTGTCTGTGTGTGTGTGTGCGCGCGCGCACTCTTCCCCCCCAGCCCCCCACTATACTATGGATCCCACACAGGATCAATTCTAAGCAACCTTGGCACTAGGGACTAAGTTCAGGACCTCCTGCTTGCTCTGGTTGCCCCCCACCATTGAGTCGTTTCCTCACTGAAGATCCCTAATTGAGCTGGCTGGACAACCTCAGTGCTTGCTGGTAGCACTGGGTTTTGAACTGCTAGACTCGTACTTGCCAGGCAAGTGCTTGAAGTCACTGAGCCACCTTCTGGCCACCCTGAAAAAAATTTTATGAGCAGTGGAACCCTCAAACAGCAAATAACCAAATATAAAATGTTAAAACATACATTTGACAATAGAATTCAATACAAGAAAAATCAAGTCTTAGAGCTGACTCAATTAGTTTAACCACGTAAATGTGTGCAAGTTCCCATTCTCCTTAGTAGCAAGAAATCCAATCTCAAAATAGAAGGAATTTGGTCAGATACCAATTTCGATGAAATCTAATCTTATTCAGTGCGCACATCCGTTCAGTACGAGATTGGAAGTATTTTCCCACTCTAATACCCTGCTGTCCCTGTTCAATCCTTTACTTTGCAAGAACACAAACTAACTTAATACAAACTAGTCTAGCTCAAGATCAAAAAAACAAGTAGATGAAAAGAAGTTTTCATTACTTGTTTCATAGAGAACTAATTATTATAGGAGAAAATTCAAGTTATAAGGTCAAATGAGCTCTTATTTGAGGAACAGAGAGTTACAGTGTTAATGCAACATTTCTTACCTCATTAAACTTGGAGCTTCGACTAGGGGTGCTTTTAGGATTCTTAGTGTTTTTCCCAGTAAAAGTCTGAAATATTAAATGAGAAATACAGAAACATAGTATTTACACCTGGGGAATGAATACCCTTAAACACACACACACACACACACACACACACTCAAGCAGCAAACATCACCCACATTCAATTATGTAAAAGTTTAACAGGAATACCAAACTAAGTTAACAGTCACAACAGCAGAGCCATCATCATCTCCCTAAGTTGTAGTTAAGTGTAATGTTACTGATCTTTTCCTCCCTAGAGTCAGTTAAGAAGTTGGGTAATTAGTAGTTAATAAATAAAAGCAGTTTTGGTTTAAGGGAAAACAATTTCCTATTAAAAGAGCTAAATCACCTCAGTAGATTTGCTGTACCTTTTTAAAAATGCAAATGTATATTTCTGACCTCATTTATACATTATGTTTCAAACCTATTAATTACAAACTTGAACTTATTCTACATGCCTTCCTTGCATAATTCAATGGGATTAAGAAAGGAAAATAGGAGTTTGAGGGTGGCATGAGGAGACAAAGTATAAAATAAAGATTGCATCTCCACAGCTACAACAGCAGAAGTAATCACTTCAAAGACAGACTGATCATTCTTCCTATCCTCCTCACCTTGTTGCTGCTGTCTTCCCATTTCGTGAAGAGAGGTCTAGCCTCTGTTTCCTGAGATTGTTTTGTTACATCCCTGAAATCCGGTTTAGAATCCTTGCCTTGAAAGGCTGAGATCCTTCCACTGCCTCTGGGAAAAGCGCTCTGAGTGGGTTTAAATTTACTGCTCCAATCAGTCAAGCCTGACCTGGCACTTGTAGGTTTAAGCAGACCCACTTCCTTGGCTGCAAGTTTCTTCTCAGCAATTATTTGATCTCTGAGTACAGATCTCAGGAAACTTTTTTGGTTTTCAGATTTTGAAGCTGTAGCTTTTACCTTTGGAGAAGCAACCATTGTGGCTTTGATACTTGTTTTAGCACTAGATACATTTGGTGCAGGGAACATACTAGTTTTACCAGTTTCATCAGGCTTATTTACTTGACCTACTCCTTTATTTGAGAATGCTTTGTTCACAATGTTTTCTGCAGGCTTTTCTTTCACTGCTGCCATGTTCTTTTCCAACTTCTCTGTAACCACCTTAGAATCAATTTTTTCAGTATTTTCTGTTACGATCTGCAGATCTATTCCGGTTTCCTTTACATTAAATTCATTCTCTTCCTTTTCATCCATGTTACTTTTTCCAGAAATTTCCTTTTTGCTCAATGCCTTCTCATTCTCAGTAGAAATTTCTGGTACTAGTGCCGTAACACAATCAGAAGGTATTACTTCTGAAGCCGTTTTGTATTTGTTTACTTCAGCTACGGCTCCCATCATAGACTGTGTAATGTCAGAGAAAAAATCTTCTGCTTCAGATGGAGATTCTTCTAGAATTCCTTTGATGCTCCTTTCTTCTATAAATGCACTTTCAGATGTTAGTAACTCTGTTCCAGGATAAATAGTTTCTGCCTCTTCTGTATGAAAATCACTGGTAGACACCTGCTGATCTAAAACTGATTCCTCTATGTTTTCAGTGAGTAATTCAATACTGACTGGAGTGGATGCTACAAGAGGAATTTCCACCTTGATCTCTTCCTGAGTTTTAATTTCCAATGTTTCTATCATCAAGTCAGGGTCACACAGTGTTTCAGGTTTTTCCTCACCAGGTTCTTCCTTTAGTGTACAAGTTTCTGTTTGAATGTTGGTAATAGTTTCTTCTTCAACCTCACTAGGTTTAACAGAGGAACTATCAGTTGCTGTCTGAACCTCACTTTCGTCAACTGGAATGTTTCTCAAGTCAGGGCTAAAAATATTTGAAAACAAACGACAAAAGAACACAAAAACACAAACAAAAAAAAATCAAACTATGATGAGAATTCAACCATTAGAAATAAGTCGATTGATGCCAATTGTTGAGACTTCCTTTCGCCTTAGTATAAAAGCACTGGAAATCCAGCAATTAGCTTTAAAATGGTTAAGATGCTTTGACATAAATATGTAACAATATAAAATTTTTAAGGACCACCACTGAAGATTGAAGATTTCTTTATAATTCAAAGCATATAAATAAAATAATGACCACTGATATCCTTTTGCTTATATAAGTTATAACCAATTTTTTTGGTATCAAGTTTGCATTTGATATTGGAAAGCCAAATGTAAATGAAGTATCTCAAATGATTTTTGAGATTTTTCATTCTAATTCCCAATAATGTAACTGAAATAGTATCTGCATAGTTCCACAATTAAACTAATGAATAATACAATTAAAAAATGTTATAAACCTTACCTAAAAAGAACATAAAACAAAACTGGTAGGATGGTAAAGCTATACTCTACAACCATGAGACCTTTTATTTTTAGATGTGAAATAGATTCATTTTTAATTTTCCAAGGATCATGTTTGGAAATAATACTTTTTTCTTTAGTGGTATCTTTTAAATGTCCTGGTGGAAATTTATGGAGATGCAGTGTTATGAGGGCAAACAAATCAATCCACCACATGGTCTCATGAGCATCACCAGGACCCTACAGGCCATCAAACATAGCAGCACTGAAGAGCCTAAATGAAGCAGAATCCTCAGGCCCTTGCACCAAATCTCTGGTCCAGACGGCTGAGAATCACTGATGATGATGGCCCCAGAGTCTCAGTACACTACTTGGGGACCTCTGAGTACTACTTGGGAGCAGCAAAATAAACGAATCTTTATAGTGACAAAATAATACAATTACAATGTTAAAAATATAAGGACAAATGCAAAAATACATGACTAGTTATGGAGTTGATCTTATTTCATCATTTTCTTCCCAAATCCAAAGAGATACTAAAATTCGACTTTCATCTATAAAGAAAGAAATAAGCTTCTTTTTCTATTTAATGTTTGGCTGACAACAGGTTATCTTGAAGATTAACAAATCAATCATAGCTCCCAAATCAATCTTAGCATATCATCAACATAAAGTAGGGACTAATAAATATACTTGCTAAAAGAAAGATGGAAAAAATATGCCAGAAAGGATCATGAAACACCCGTATCTAAGGTAAAAAGTATTCATTCTTTTTCTCCATTTTTCAAAGATCTTCCCTTTGGTATACCAAAGAGAGGTCATTAATACAATATGATGTAAATCTGTATCTTAAATGTAAATATTTTTAAAAGTTTTGCAAAAAGTAAATGTTAACAAGTGAGGGTTTAAATTATTTTAGACATAAACTGAAATTTTCCCTGAAGATACTAAGTTTAAATTTCTAAAGGAAAAAATCTTGCAAGAAATCAGAGAAACACCACTTGAAGCAAGAGAAAGGTTTGAGGAATTTTAACTGAAAGTTAATAATCATAGACCTATCATCAATATAGGTTATATTCATTTATATAAACAACACTGCATGCTGAAAGGATGCAAACAGTTTTATTTGAAAATATTCATTTCCTTTATTTTGAAAAATACCAACAGTTGACTAAGTGTTCCAAATTTTTTTTTAGTTTTTGGGTCACACCCATGAGTGCTCAGGGGTTGGTTACTCCTGGCTCTGCACACAGGAACCACTCTTTTTGGTACTTTGGGAGACCATATAGGATGCTGGAGATCAAAATCTAGGTCAACTGCATGCAAGGCAAGTGCCCTACGTTATACTACCAGTTGTACTATCTCTCTAGTCCCCAAATTCTTAATACTAGTCAAAGCAGAAGTGGGGGAAAAGTACAAATATGGAAAAGGGAAAGAAGTAGAGACATTCAGTTATAGCATTTATATATAGCTCCTCAAAATTAAAAAATGTGTTTTAAATTACAATATTCATTTTTATAAATTAAGATTAAAGTTCCTATATCATTATAGAATTGCACATTTAACAATGTGTTGGCAATATAAACAAATGAGACTACATTAAACTAAGAAGCTTCTGCATCTCAAAAGAAACAGTGACTAAAATACAGAAAGAGCCCACAGAATGGGGAAAAAATATTTACCCAATACCCATCAGATAGGGGCTTAATATCCTAATATCCAGGATATACAAGACACTGGCAGAACTTTACAAGAAAAACCCCCTAACCCCATCAAAAAAACAGGGAGAAGAAATGAACAGAAAGTTCCTCAAAAAATAAACTCAAATGGCCAAAAGGCAAATGAAAAAATGCTCTATCTCGCTAATCATCAGGGATATGCAAATCAAAACAACAATGAGGTACCATCTTACACCACAAAAACTGGCACACATCAGTAAGAACAAGAACAACCAGTGCTGGCAAAGATGTGAGGAGAAAGGGACATTGTTGGTAAGAATGCCAACTGGTTCAGTCCTTTTGGAAAACAATATGAACATTCCTCCAAAAACTAGAAATAGAGCTTCCATAGGACCCAGCAATACCACTCCTGGGAATATATCCTGGAGATGCAAAAAAAAACACAGTAGAAATGACATCTGCACTTGCATGTTTACTGCAGCACTATTCACAATAGTCAGAAAAAACCCGAGTGCCTGAGAACAGATGACTGGTTAAAGAAATTCTTCACATCTACACAATAGAATACTATGCAGCTGTTAGAAGAGATGAAATCATGAAACTTGCATATAAGTGGGTAGACATGGATAGTATCATGCTAGGTGAAATGAGTCAGAAAGACAGACAGACATAGAATGACTGCACACTCATTTGTGGAATATAAAATAACATAATATGAGACTGACACAGAGCCTGGCAAGCCACCCGTGATGTATTCGATATGCCAAACACAGTAACAACAAAGTCTCCAATGGAGACGTTACTGGGCCCACTTGAGACTGACACCCAAGGACAGTAGAAACCAGGGCCAGGAAGACTGCTCCATGTTTGGCAGCCTGCCTCATGAGCTGGGGGAAAAAGTGGCTGGGATAGAGAAGGGATCACTATGTCAATGATGGTTGGAGGGATAGTTCCAGATGGGAGATGCATGCTGCAAGTAGATAAAGGACCAAACGTGATAGCCTCTCAGAATCTGTATTGCAAACCATAATGCCGAAAGTAGAAAGAATATGGGAGACATTGTCTGCCATTGAGGCAGGGGGAGGGGTTGGATGTGAGGGGGTGGGAGGTGAGGATACTGGGGACACTGATGGTAGAAAAAGTGCACTGGTGGAGGGATGGGTGTTCAATCATTGTATGATCAAAATTCAAACATGAAAGCTTTGTAACTATCTCATGGTGCTTCAATAATTAAAAAAGAAAAAAGCCAATGTATTGGCTAAAAATAAAATACTGGAGATTTTTGTTCCCTGCTAAAACAAATCCTTCACCTTTCCATTTTAAAATTAATCAAGTAAAGGAATTCAAATTATCTTTTATGTAAAATGAATCACTACGAAGGTTCCACACTTCAATAATAACAACTTTCTCTGAAAAATGGCCGAATTCCATTTTTAACAGAGTTCAATGACTAAAAATTATTTTATAGCTTTCTGGCTAATACAAAAAAGAGCCACAGTGCTCATAGTTAACCTATAAGTCAACATAAGATGTCAAATCTATCAAATTATTAATGTCAGAGACACATATAAATCTTTCAAATATCAAAGAAACACGATCTGGGAGATGGCACACACAAAAAAGGTTAGAGGAAGGCCATTGGCATAAAGATACCTAATTTCCCACATCCCACAACCCATTCCCATTCCCACATAATATTGAAATCTTTAGAAAAGGTCTAACAATAAAAACTGAGTATGAGAACAAAGGTTGACACCATAGCTTAGACTTTCTGAGAAACTAGACTGAGCCTTAATACTGAAGATTAGTATTTATTTCAGAAAAGTGAGTGGGTACTTTTCAACATGAATAATGAACTGGTAGAATTTTATCCAGCATCCTTAGTAGGGCCCTTAATCACATGATGTTTCCATGGGGATAAAAACTGAACAAGCAAAATTTAGCAATGTATAAATTACTAATTATCCATAAGTTTCTTTAAATATATTTTACATTAATTACAAATAGGATCGTATTGTTAAGCATCCATACGTAATTTGAAATAAAAAACATAAAAGCACCAGTATTTTCTCAAGAGCAGTTTACTCCAAATAAAAAAGTGTAATATTAGGCAACTCCCATGTCTTTTTCTGTAGCATTACAGACATATCAGGGAAGAAAAAAAAAAAACACAAAAATGGAAATTTAAATTAGCGACAGAATCTTTTAAGTGATTTTGTAAGAGGCTATCTGTAAAATTATCTGAGTCAAAATATTACAGAGCTGGGAGAGTGCTCAAAGGGCTGAGGACATTCTTCCCTGCAGGCACAGGTATGACCCCTGGTGCCACATGATCCCCAGAAACAGTCTGAGTGGTCCCTAGCAATGCACTGGATGTAATTCCAAAATTTAAAAAATAACAAAAAAATATTAAGAGGAATAAAATGACCTAAGTACAGATAACACTATTTGTAAAGACCCTTAAAAAAAATTCTGCAAAATGAAACATAATTAACTATTTTGAAGAGTCTATTTACCTACCAGCCCAAATTAATGTGATCAAATTATGTATTTGTCTACCTTACTACAAGAAACATTATTATTCTCTATATAATGTGCACTAATAAAATGTACATTATATTTATATCAATAATGCATAGTAATTAACTGCATATTGTGTAAGACGTACAATGTATATTATAGCACTGAGTGGGCTTTATACACAATAATATCAAACAACGGTGCTGTATTTTTAGTCATTTTACTATCCAATAATGCATAGTATTTAAATGCATATTGTGCAAAATGTACAATGTAAATTATAGAACTGAGTGGGCTTTATACACAATATCAAACAATGGTGATGGTATTTTCAGTCATGTTACTATAAAGGGCATGAGAATATATAGCTTAATAAATTCTGTGCTATCAAGTATCAACAACCTATTGAACTACCAATATATTTCAATGTATTCATAATCACCTTTATCACTTAAAGATCACTTTAAGAAAGGAATATATAAGACATACTATTTTTTAGGCTTTACAAAATTAAATAATGAAATAAAAACACATTAAATATTTACATACCAACTTAAAAATTTTTACCACAGGTATTCTGAGGTAAAATAATAAGGGTAAATAAGGGTAAAGTACTTCGCATAAAGGTAGTAAAAAAACTATAAATCAGTGATTTACCATCAAAAGTAGTAAGGAGGGATTGGAGATAGTACAGTATTCAGGGTGTTTGCCTTGCATGCAGCCAGCCCAGGTTCTATCCTGGCTACCGTAAGAAGTCCCCTCAGTACCACCAGGAGTAATCCCTGGGTACAGAGCCAGTACTAAGCCCTGAACACAGCTGGTTTGGCCCCAAAATAACAAAAAAGGTTTTTTTTAAAGAGTAATAAAAGTGAGTTCTTAATTGGTTGAACAATGATGGTTATGGTATTCACTAAAAGAAAGTTACAGTATACTATCTAGGTAAAAAAACAAGGTGACTGGGTTTGTGTACACTGAAGAACAAATTTTGTGTACACTGAAGAACAAATTTTTATAGACTTTGAAAACACAAAGTGCCACACATAGTAAAACTGTTTTTGCAAAACCCCCTTCTACCCCAATTGTTTTTCTGAAAGTTTAAAAATATGTAACAAATACACTTTGACTTTAGGTCAAAAAACTAAAAACAAACAAAAAACACCTACAAACATCTAAAAACATGAACAATAAATTTTTGCTACAGAAATAAACCAAATATTAACTATATACTATATGAAACATTAGCAATATTTAAACAACATACCTTTCTTTTCCTGATCCTGTGTACTTCTCTGCTTGAGCCTGTAACATAATTCCACAGTTTATTAGAAGCTATTCTACTGGGCTTTAAATATTTAACCCATCAATGAAATGCTTTCATTTCTTAAAATGAAAGCCAAAAAAAAGAGGATAATCTTAGAAATAAATCAAAAAAGCTACTGACATTGTCCATAAAAATGATCAAGACTTAGATTTAGATTTTTTTAAATTAGTAGGTAAAAAAAAACTCTTTCAGGTTATACAGGGTAACAAGCAACCAATGAGAAAAATAAGTTTCATAAAAACTTTCACCTTTAAAAATCCTGAAAATATTACCTTTTCCTTAAAATATAAACAACTATAAACAACTAGGTCCCAGGATGTGGATCAAATGCTAGTGCAAATGTCCTGCATGTGTGAAGTTCTGGGTTCAACCCGTGATACAACACAGTGCCCTACCATCCCTTGACATTCTCTTCTCCGCCCTCTGCCCTCCAATTAAAAACTCTCTAGGTCCATTTTTCATTTGAGGGTCACCTGCATGTATAATTGACTTTTTCTCCTCTAGAGAAACCCATCTTTTCTCGTAAACTCTCTTAAACTCTTATTTTCCTTATACATCTCAAAATATAAAATGGGAATGGAGAGGAGTGGGAAGAGGAAGAAGAGAAAGGGGAAAGAAAAGGAAACGGAAAAAGCACTACTCAAGCAAACAGAAAAGTCATACAAGAGAGCTGGTGATGCCAAATCTAAGAAGTAACAGAAGTAACTCAGCAATTAAGATGAAAACCAAAGGTGTTCATGAGAGTTGCTTTACATAGCAAATGGCCACACATTCAAAATAAGGAATGAGAAGAAAAGCTGGGGTTAGATCCGAGTTCACAATCACAAACTGTTTGAACTACATAATATACAAATTCAAAAATCTCCCAAAGCAATACCAAATCAATTCCTAAATTGCACACAATCTAAAGAAAACAAAACAAAGCATGATTAGGAAAAATGACTGAACTTCAGGAAAGCAGCCCAAGCCATACAAGTTGTAGACATCTCTCTGTCATTCTCTCTCTTCACTCTCATTGTATTTGCTTCTGCAGTAAATTATCTTAATATGCAAAATATGAAAGATTCCGATACCCATCTTATTACTTTAGAATTAAGACTTCAGGCTTCATATGCAGGATAACTATAGTTAAAGACTTAATCTAACATACAACATTTAGAAGTAACATAAGCAACAAAACAGGAGGAGCGAGGAAGAGTAATATATCAAGTTAATTAATTAAAAGCAGGGTAATTTACAAAGTGCTATTAGAATGATCTAAAGACAGATTTATTTCCATTTCACAGTCTATTCCTAGGTGTGGCTTTCATTATTTCACAGACTACAACACTTTGATATTAGGGGATCAAGCCCAAGTCAGCTGTACATAAGGCAAACACCCTATGTACTCTACATCTATCACCAATTTATCATTCTTTGAGTATACATACTGGGTACCACATTATCAACAGACCAGTAAAATGCAAAAACATGGTTTTGAGTAAGTCTTAGGGAATAAAATGATCAAATCAGTTAATGGTTTTATATCATTTCTTGAACTAAGAATTTGGAATGTTTCTGAAAGAAAATTTATAGTCAGTGTTTACTTAATTTTAAAAGTTGGCTGCAGGAGCCAAAGCGATACTACAGTAGTAGGAAGGGTGACTGCCTTGCACACGGCTGACCCAAGAGTTCAATTCCTGATATCCCATCTGGTCCTCCAGGCATCACCAGGATTAATTCCTGAGTGCAGAGCCGGGAGTAAGAATAGGAAGAATAGGAACGATGGGGGGAAAATACTCCAAGACTAAAATTTGCTAAATAGAATAACTTGGAAAAATATCAAATACAAATGCTTTAAAAGTATCCTGGAGTGAAGGGACAGTACACTAGGTAGGAGGCTTGCCTAGAACGCAGCTGATCCAGATTCAATGCCTAGCAATTATCCGGTGTAATTCCTGAGTTCAGAGTCAGAAGTTATCTGAGCATCATTAGGTATGGCCCCCAAACGGGGACACACACACACACACACACACACACACACACACACACACACACACACACACGAACAAAGTGTCCTATTGTGTAGACACCAAATATAAAGAACTAAAATGTTAAAAAAAAAAAACAACCAAAAACGGGGGGAGGGTTTGAAAACCTAGCTCGAAGGGTGGAACACATGCTTGCTTGCACACATGTGGCCACAATCAATTTCCAACCCTGCATTATTCCTTCTCACCTAAGTACTACCAGGTGACCTGGAGGCACCTGAGTACTGCACAGTGTTTCTTGTGGCCCGCAGAGCACTGCTTTGGATCCCTCACACACAATTCCCCCCCCCTGGAATTAGCTAGTTAAATCACTCAAATTTGTACTTAAATTAGTGCCTCTCTTTACAGATACTCAACTTCATTGGGCTTTAAATACTGCAAATTTCACTTCAGTTAGCACAAGATTTTTGGCTTACTAACAAAAAAACCATGTATAAGAGAAAAAGATACTACAAAAGTTAGAGTAGAGCTTATAAAAACTAAAAATACATGGAGCTGGAGCAATAGTATAGTGAGTAGGGCTGCCTTATACGTAGCCTACCCAGGTTCAATCCTCAGCATCCCATATAGTCCCCAGAGCAATGCCAGGAGTAACCCTGGAACATCACTGCCAGGTGTGACTCAAAAAGGAAAAAAAGCCAAAAAGGGGAGGGAAAAAGGACTCAGAAAATAAGGCTCCCAGAAGAGAGCAACATAGAACACAGCATGCCACAGAGATGCCTCCAGACCATGCACCAGGCTATCTTAACTGGGGTAACTCAGAGGGGGTTTGGGGGGGGGAAGGGGGGAGGTGAGTTTCCCTCAACAAAGCACCAGCAGCCAAAAACCTCCAGAACTCAAATCACCACCATGCTCACAGCGGCTCTCAACAGACTGTGACGAATCAATCTGCAGAAAAACCCAGGTTGCAGAACTTGTGACTGAAATCTCCAAGCTCGCGCAAGTGGGAATGGGCCTCCTCCTACTCCCATTTCCCTAGTTCACCAGTAGCTTGGCAGTCACACCCACAAACTACTCCTGGCACCTTATAATCTCATCAACAGCCTCACCCATGAGTGAATCTGCTGCACAACCAGAGGTCTAAATCTTAGACCTCTCATACTCTACACCACTGCTGTACAAAGAGTAGCATACGACATTTGATGAGGTTTAACAAAGATGTTAGTTATCAGGGCTTACTGGCTCCAGGATGAAATACAACAATCTTCACACAGTTTCCATAAGGAAACCTTATTGGACCATTTTTAGCGGAATATTCATAACAAGCAATGCAAAATTGTTCTACTTTGGGGGGCACGGTTAGAAACATTCGAAACATGATGTAATGGTGGTGGAATTAGTATCTGAATATTAAATGTAATGAATTATTGTGAACTTTATAAAAATAAAATTAAAAAAAATTTTAAACACAGAATATTGAAACCAATTTTACTAGTACCCGAGAATAATTCATAAAGTTCATCTTCCAGCTTTGGGAGAATAACCTTTATGCTTTATTTGTTAAAAGTACAAAATCTGATACAAAACAATCATACCTCTGACAAATTCATTTTTGGAGATAATTTGCAGGTCAATACATGGTCACCTATGTTCTGTGGATGTTGTTTCAGAAAGCTATACATTGACTGCGCAGATTCAGGACTATCGAGCTGAAGAATTGCCTATAAAGAAGGCAAAAAAGTGTGAGTGCTTATTTACAATTTAAAGATGCAATTACAAATATTCAACAATTTCATCTTTTGGTCTATGTCCAAAGACCTGATCAGGAACTCAAACAGTTATTCATATACACATATTGGTATTGATATCAGTTACTTTTAACCAAAAAGTAGAAAGCCAAGTGCTCATTAACAGTTAACAAGTTAAAATGTGATTTATCATTTGTAATTAGTTGTAACAGAACAGCAATTCTGGCAAATGCTACAACACATTCCAGAAAACACTGTCGTAAACCATGTTTGTCACCAATGAACAATATTCCACTTATATGAGGTGCCTAGAGCATTCAAATTCATAGAAAGTAAATAGCAGAATGATGCCTGCTAGGAGCTAGAAAAAGAATGGGAAGTTCTATTTAATTCAGTCTGGGAACAAAACAAAGTTCTGGCAATGGATAAAGATGATAAATAAACAAAAATTATGACTATAATACTACTGAACTGACAGGTAAGGTCAAAAGGGTAATTTTTACATTCTATGTATTTAATCACAGTACATATCTAAATATGTTAATGACAAATATTTCTTTTAATTTAAAAATTCATCTATTTTGGAGGGCTGGAGCGACAGCACAGCAGGTAGGGCGTTTGCCTTGCACACAGCCAACCCGGGTTCGATTCCCAGGATCCCATATGGTCCGAGCACTACCAGGGGTAATTCCTGAGTGCAGAGCCAGGAGTAACCACTGGGCCTCTCCAGGTGTGACCCAAAAAGCAAAAAAAAAAAAAAAAAAATCATCTATTTTTCTTCAGGACTTCAAATATTTGATTACACCTGTTTCTTCCTTTTAAAGTAAATCAGAGGGTCTGGAAAGTCAAGACAAAATTTAAAGTAATGGCATTTTAATAGTTACTTAAATTTTTGATTCTTTGGTCACACCTGTGGTTCTTAGGGGCCAGTTCTTGGCTCAGTCTTCAGGGGTTACTCTTTGCAGTGTTAAGGCAGCAGAACCCTGGGCTTCCTGCATACAAAACATGAGCTCTAATTCATTAAGTTATCTTTCTGTCCCAAGATGATATTTTTAAAATAAAGGATTAAGTATGTCTAAAGAGTCAGAATTATTCCACCTACTCTATCCTTTCCATCATTTGTCACACTACTTCTAAATATCAAACTTAGTGTATGCTTCTAAAGCAAGCCAAAAAGTTAAGTATCTACTTGTGGTTGATTCGGCATTTTTTGGTGAAGAATACACTGCCAAATTTGATATGAAAACCTACCTTTCTAGGTAATATAGGATTACAATAAGGTAACAGTATTTGGGTAACCATAAGGTATCGGGTATAAAATTGGGGCTTTCTTTATGCAAATCATGCCCTCAACCCAGAACACTATCTCTTCAGCTTTTTGATCTTTTATGAGTATAACTACCAGGATAACAAAGAACAGATCATTCCTTCAGGTATGATCTAAAACTCCTAAAATGTGAATTAAACATTAAACAGAGAGCATGACAAATGTAAACAATAGAATCCAAGTGTTTTATGACTAGAAGGGACTTGTAATAATTCTGAAGACAGATATAAACTTTTCTTGTCAAAGCCGGAGAGTAAATATGAAGGTTTTTCATAACTCTAAGAGACTGAGAAGAATTTGTGGAGTTTTAATGTTTAATTCAGAAGCCAAAGAAAAAGCTACGGACCACAAAAATATTAAAATTCAGTTATATACACTACTAAACTTATAGCTAAAACAAGCAGAACCTTGTTACCTTGTTTCTATTACTCATGAATATGTGGTGATCCACTTTTCCAAACTGAAGCCCAATACAAAGTACACATTGAAGTCCATCTTCTGGTAAATTATCAAGGTGTACAAAACGATCGTAAATTTTATCCATATTTTCCTGTAGGTTTTGAGACAGTAAGAAAAATATAAATTAGCAACACTATTTCAGAGGTCAAGGGTCAAATGGTGCCCTCTCAGTAAATAAGAAAATGACTTCTGATGAACAAAGTGAGGTCTTATAACTTAATATTTTTGTTTGTTTATAATTTCTCAGACTGAATCTAGATCATCACATATATAAAGCAGGTGCTCTGACACTGGGCCACAATCTCAGTCTTTAGATATTAGTAAACAGTAAAACAATAAACAAAAAGAAAAAATACAAACTTTTATCTATCAATCTCTTATTTACCAAAAGTGCCTCAGAGTACTAACCCATCTGGACACTTGACATGGCTCCAAGTACTTAGAAAATATTTATCAGGGATTAATACCATCAGCATTTGTCTTTACTTTTACCAAGAGATGACTCAACAGAAATCTTCATCACTTCAATATTGGCTAGAGATGTAATATAGCAGGTAGGGGTTTGCCCTGCATGTGGCTAAGCTGGGTTTGATCCCTGGCTTCCCATATGGGAGAAATTTCTGAGCACAGAACCTGGGGTAATGCCTGAGAATTGCTGGACGTGGCCCAAAAACCAAAAACTAAAATAAGTTCTACAGTGTCTTTAATTCTTAATTAATAGATACCTAGAACATCAATGATTTTATCAACTAAAGAAGTGTAGAAAAGCATTAAAATTAAAAACTTACCGATGGGTCATTTTCTTTAATCAAGGTTGTGAAGATAGCTTCCTGAAAAGCCAAAATAGAAAGAAGTTGAGGACACAAGGTCTTCCTCAACCACTTAAAAGTCAAAAGTAATAATAAAATAAACGGCATAAAAATGCATTAAACATAATTTATAAATTGAGAAATCAGTAAGAGTTGTTCTTTAAAAAAATTTGCCACACTTGTAATAAGTTACTGAAATTCACTGTACCCACAGTTTAATTCTTCTTATACATAAAATTTAAAAATAGTAATGTGCAGTCACTTAGGATAGGACATCAAAACTTACATACACATACAGGTAACAAAAGATTTAATTCAGCAGAGAACTCAATTCAAAAATGAAACTTAAGGAGCTAAAAACATGTCTTAGAATAACAGCTGGCCCAATTTGACACTACAGTGGTCACCACGGGACCACCAGAGGTCACTCCTGATCACAGGCACTACTGGGTATGGCTCCAATACCAGCCCAAAAGAGCCAAAGGTGAAAGATAGCGAACTGAATGAGCACACACTTTGAATGCAGGACAAACATGGGGATGTGGCTCAGTGAGAGAATGACTGTTGTGCAGTCATGAGACATATTCAATCCTCACTACTTTTCTGCTGGTAGAATGTGATCCCTAGCACTGCAACAGAGCATACAAGGCCTAGATACCAAGAATCTTTATAATAAATAAGTAACAAAATCTTTAGAGTGTTCTACGAAATGGCTCAAAGACCAGAAATACATGTTTTGCATGCAAGAGTCCCAGATTCAATCCCTAGTACAAATATTAAAGAGAATATTAAAGAAATGAAAGCTAGCAAATAAATAAATAACCAAACAGAAGGGATTAAGTATTCTGAGATTTAGATAGTAAGTTATAGAATCTAAAGAATAATAAGACTATGATGTTGAAGCTGACAGAGGCTAGCAAATAGATTTATATTTACAAGAATTTATCTTATAAGAATTTAATTCTTTGCTTCCCGTCCAATGCATACCATATTTTATGAGGGCACTCAGTCTGATCACAATCTTAGAAATAGGTCAAAACTAGTTTCTACATTTTTCAGTTAAAAGTCTCTGAATTATAATTGAGTGGCATACTTTATATATGCTTTGAATAGCTACAAACTTGAAATAATCTGTTCGTTGTAACATGTGAAAGTACCACAGATGTTATAAATAGTGATCTATGGGTTCCCTATTTTCAAACAATATAAAACATTCAAGTAAACATTCAATCATTAACATACACATAATTTCTGTTCCTTATTGAGAGTCAAAGAGATCTCTAAGGACAAGAATAGACACATAGTTGCTGGAATTGTGCTATAACTTCTAAAAAAAAAACAAACCGATCAACAATATTCAACAGACATATGTCGTTACAATTGAATACATACTTTCAAAACAACATTTTAAAATTCAACTGTCTGATGGATATAAATTTCATTCATTTCCATGTTCCTCTAGATTCTAGTGTCTGTTTCATGCTTTAGCAATTGATAATAAATTTGTAGGTCAAAAATATGAGTTCCTTCATTAAATCTGAATACACCTGAATGTAATTTAGTCTCACAATTTTGTGGAGGAATCTTTTGATAAAGACAAAACTGCAGATACAAGATATGCTACTTTAGTGACTTCTAAGATGGGAAGCAATGGTAAGGAGAATAAAGAAGGAATAAACTCCAGAAGTATTCAGGAGTTAAAGGAGAAAAGAGATAGTAACAGAACGGTGGTCTAAACTGGAAGGAAAAAATTAACCTCTGGGATTCTAGTTTGTAGAAAGAAAATGACCGTGAAATTCTCTGGGGTAGTGGAGAAGGGGGAAAAAAAAATCACAGAACTCTTTTGACAAAGAACTTTCAACGTTTTTCCTGACCCCAATATATAAGGGATAGGATTTCATTGATATTTAAAGTCTTAAAGAATGAAACGGAAGAGGGTAGAAGGACAAGAAGCTTTCACACTACCAGAAAATATGGAACATAAATCTTACTTTCTCAAATTTATTAATGCTCTAGAAAAAATGGTAAGTTTAAATTCATTACTTACCTCATCTTTTATATTCATACTTTCTGGAGCCATACTTATTGAGAGTTGATTTCCATCTACTGATATTGGGAAACAGGTATAAAAGTATACCATAGAATCTGCAGATTTTTTATTTAACTCTAGAAGAGCCTTTTAAAACAAATTACAAGAACAGAAAAATTAGTGTCTTAAATTATCCTTCCTTAAAAAGCTTTGATATTTTTAAGATGTTACTGGGCCCGCTCAAGCAAATCAAATACTGGGAGGACATTGCTAATAGTTAAATTACGTTGAATCATTTTTAATTTGAGGACAAATAAATGAATACCCCCCAAAAGATGATAATAGACTAAAAAACAATATATCATGACAATGCTCACATGGCAGTAATAGAAATATTAGGGAACATTCTAGTAAAAGACAACAAAAGAAAATTTTGTAAATTTTATTCTTCACTGTATTCTTACTGGTTAGCATGAAGCAGATACTTAAGTGGAAAATAATTTGGAAGGCTAGGGTGAGGGATACACGGCAACACATCTCCCAAGTGGTGTTCAGGGACCTCTAGGTTACTGCTGGGAGTAACATGGTCAACTGAGCTGGGCAGAGTTGCTTGGGTCTTGTGGAGCTGTATGCTGACCCCACACCTACACTTGGCAGTGTTAAGGAGGCATCTGAGTTATGGGGTTTGAACTCAGATCCCATGTATACCTCATCCCACTGAGCTGTCTCTCTAGACCCTATATAATTTTAATTATAAAACATAAAAAATGAGAGAAATAAAGAAATGCAAAGCGACGGCCCATTATTTTCAGTTGCTTCCATAGGAGCAAAATTGTAACTCCATATATTTGTCTTTAATTTTCATTCATAGTTAAATACTAGTCAAATATCTATAAGTTTTCAATTTATATTTTGAACATTCTTCTTATTATTAGTATTACTACTAAGTCTATTCTTTTTCTCAGGGGTTTGAATCACATCCAGCAGTGCCCTGGGATCACTAATAATAGTATCCAGGAGACCACCTTTGGTGCTCAATCTCTCTGCCTCTGAACTTTTATCATTTTATGTACATCTTAAAATGTAAATCTTTTGTTCTTCATTCTACACAAAAAAATTCTTTGGTTTTGTGTTTTGGCCACACCCACTTCACAGCCACAGAGCTTAACTCCTGGCTCTGTACCACCATGAATGGTAGGGTTACCTAAGCCTCTGCAGATACTCTCAGGACCAACAAAGCTCTTTTCTAAAAGGCAGGTAACATAATGCCCAAAAAGGGGAGAGAGGGAAGAGGGAGGGGAGGGAAAGGAAGAGAAGGGAGGAAGGAAGGGAAGAGAGAAGAAAGGCAGAATGCCCAAAAAGGGAAGAAAGGGAAAGAAAGAGAGGGGGGAGAGAGGAGGGAGGGGACAGAGAGAGGGGGGAAGTAGATGGGGGGGGGAGGTAAAAAAAAGTGCCTGTAACAGAGGCAGGAGTAAGAGACTATGATGACAGGACTGGGGACACTGGTGGTAGGAAATGTACACTGGTGAAGGGGAGGGCTATGGGAACATTTTATGACTGAAACCAAATCATCAACAACTTTGTAACTGCATCTCACTAGATTCAATTAAAAAATAAATTTAAAAATTTAAAGGGAGGCAGCAAGTTTTAGAGACAAGAATGATAGCATTTTTCAAAAATAAGAATTTTATGACTGCACTGAATTTGGGAAAGTAGTAGGAATCTTGGAACAAATTACTCTATAATTAGATCAAATATAAAATAGTTAAATTAGAAATGAAATACAGAAATGTAGCCAGAAGCACATAATTTGCATGTGGGAGTCCCAAGTTCAGTCCATGGCACTGCATGGTCCCTAGCACCACTAGCAATGACCTTGAATCCATCTGGGAGCAATTCCTCCCACCAAAATACAGAAAATCTAATCAAGTATAATGATTAACATTAGAGTTTGTCCTAAATTTTATTTTAAAAAATCAAATGAGCTGAAGAGATAGCAGGTGGGTGCTTGATGTGCATGTGGCCAACCTGGGTTCAATTCTCAGCACCCCAGACAGTTCCCTGAGCCTGGGAAGAGTGATTCCTGAGAACAGAGCCAAGAGAAACCTCTAAGCACCACCAGGCGCGGCCCCAAAACAAAACAAAAAGCCGTAAAGTAAATAAAATGAAACTGTGTAAGAGCTGGAGAGGCAGTACAGTTGGTAGGGTGCTTGCCTTGCACACAGCCAACCCACAGTAGAGCCCCAGCACTGTATATGGTACCAGTGCCAGGAGACTCCTGAGCAGCAAGCGCTGAGCACAGCAAGTACCGCATCTACAGCGCCTCCCCACCCCAAAAGGGAAAGTTTTGTTGAAAGTTTAAAATGTCATAAAGTTTACCCATTTAAGTGTTCAATCAATGGTTTTCAGAATATTTAAGTACTATGCAGTAGATCTACTTTTAACAGTAACTTGCATTTGGCTCCATCTTCTTAGGCTCAGATTAACATCATCAAACAAAAAAAATCTCTAGTGATCAATTGCTTTCTATTTTAAGAGTGCTATTTCCCACCACTGTAATTGTGTAATTTCTATTAAATGACTGAAACCTTTCTGAAACTATATACCTACCCCAAGTTGTTTGGTATAATTAACATTACAGAGAACTATAAACACAAAGATAAACTCAGATTAAGTATAAGTATGAAAATGAGTTACTCCCAATGAATATCATAGGCAAAGCAACAAATATACTATTGTAAAGAAAAACTAATAAAAATGCTACGTCATTTTTTAAAATATGCATTAACATGTTAAGGGTAGAAAACATTTTTGATTTTTGAGCTACAGTTGAGTGCTCAGAGGTTACTCCTAGCTCTGATGCACTCAGAAAATAGTGCTGGCAGTGCTAGGGGAACCATTGGGGATGCTGGGGATCCAACTCAGGTTGGCCTAAGGCAAGTGCCCTAACCACTGCATGATTTCTCCAGCCCCAGATATAAATATTTTCTATTAAACTAAAAACTGGGCAAAATTTCTAAAACATCAGTTGGCCATTCTTCCTTCTTTAAAATTACATATGATTTGAAAGTAAGGAATATCTTTATGCCATATTTTTTAAATTCTTTAGCTTGAGGTTTTTTTTTTTCCTTCCCTTTTGGGTCACACCCAGCATTGCACAGGGGTTATTCCTGGCTCATGCACTCAGGAATTACTCCTCGCAATACTCATGGAACCATATGGGATGCTGGGAATCGTAGCCGGGTCGGCCGCATGCAAGGCAAATACCCTATCTGCCGTGCTATCACTCCAGCCCATAGCTTGAGATTTTTGTCCTGTCTTTAAACCCATTATAGTTTTGTCAAATTAATGTTTTTCCAAATATGCTTGCAAAAGTGAACAGCTATTATAAACTCTTACCTTTTTGTGAGATGATAAAATCAAAATATCCTTTAAACCACCAAATGGTTTTACTAGGTTGCAAATTTCTTCTATAGAATATCCTTTATTAGGCAAATTAGAAATAAGTATCACGCACATTTCCTCTGTTTCCTTCAAAACAAATTTTAGAGTTGACATTAAATTTCGAGTTGTATATTTACTCAAGTTTATACTGTAGGTCATGACAGTATTCAAATTGCATTAGTATGATTAACTCAAAAGACTAACTTCAACCTCAAATTAAAAACAAAATGTAAATTTCCTCTCAAATACAATGAAATATTTTCACTCCACCATGTCACATAAAGGTTTTTAGTTCTTTTCAATTGCTGTTCAAAATGCAAATTAGTCTGTCTCTTGACAACTCTGTTCTTTTAAATAAATACTGTTTGTATTTTTTGTTTGGGGGCTACACCCCCGGCAGTACTCAGGGCTTACTCCTAGCTCTGTATTCAGGGATCACTCAGGAGCCGAGACCATTTGGGGTGCTGGGAATCAAACCTGAGTAGGGTATGTGCATGGCAAGTGACATAACTGCTATTCTATCCCTCCAGTATTTTAATTAATGGCAAAATATTGTTACCATTCCTGTGCTTTGTGATGCTAACACCCCAAGATTCAATCAGTGCATATCCTTTCATTTGCAGGGGTTGGGTGGGATCATTTTAAGAAAATAAAATACAGCTTTTTAGTGTCCTTACCCCATAACCCAATCACCACTACAAAGAAAATACTCCCTTTTGTGCCTTCTCAGATCGATTTATTCTTCAAGATGACTCACTGTCACTTTTTTCTGTTAGTGGATAGCAGGTTAATCTCCAAAGGTATGTTACATACAGTAAATGTAGCAACTTGTGACTTTTCTTTTGAAAAGTAATAAAAACAAAAAGTGACAATTGTAATTTTCAGAAACCAGCTGAGAATGATTATCATGTCAACTGTGCTCACAACTGGATTCTTCTAAAGTACTTTGAATGAATCTATAAAAACTCTACTGGTAGTTTAAAATATCCTTCCGATAACAAGATGTATTATTACTTGGATAATCCACCTACCAGTCAAAACTAAACTCATGCTTATCCCTGAGTTATCTCTAGGTCTTATCCAATAAAGTCTTAAACCAATAATATTTAATATTCATAACTGAAAGATGTAACAAGTATGTTAAAACTTATGCTTTTAAATACAATGTGCAACTCAATCCTCTTTAAAATGCGAAGAAAAACTGGTATCTTAAATAATAATATATTTCCTATTGCTTTTTAAGGAGAAGAAAATTTTCACAAAATTCTATGCTTTTAATTTACCTACTCAAAAACACACTCTGGCCCAACAGTTTGGCATATTCCTAAATTCTTATGATTTATTGCAACAGTTGAAGGCTTTTTATTTCAAACTGTAGTTTGAAATAAAAGTCACAAGTGACTGAAGTTTTACACGATACCAAATACTTTTTTAAACCTTTGGTTTCTAAGAAAAACACACTATTGTCAAAATGTTTCAAGCTTTGAAAATGTAAAATCTGAAAACTGACCTTTTTAACTGGTTCATTTTCTGAGGCATCCAAAGCAGTTTCTTGAGACATAAAATAAAAGAATTCATAAAGAATTATATTTTTCTTATCAAAATCTCAATTTATTCCACAATGAATTAAATAGTAGCTAAATGAAAATGTCTACAACTGAAGAAAGAATGAGATTTAAATAGGAAATATATACAGAGTAACACTGGTTTTTAATTTAGCATGAGGGGACGTGGTAAGGGGTGGGCAGCAGATCTGCCCATCCTTGCTCAATGGGCAATACTTCCCCAATAATGTGAACTTGACAGGTCCAGTCCTCACTTCCAGTGATGCTGTGCTTTTCTGGCTCTGGGAGTACTGGGTCTACCAGGGCAATACTTGGTGATAGAGACTTACATACGAGGCATGGACTCAGTCCTTTGAGTTACCTCGAGCCCCGAAGGTTTTTTAATCAACAGTAGTACTTATTTATTTAGAGTTATTTAGTTTATTTCCATTATGGAGAAGCCCAAGTTCTCTTTTGAACACATGTATCTCTAATTCTTTCTTACCCAACACATGTCTCTAGATGAATTTCATTAAAACTATTTTGCTTGACTAAAATATTTTTTAGCTATATTCTTTCATGAAACAAAATTTCAGAATAACCAAGAAATAGGGGAAAGAGTTGAATCACATAATGTGCTTAATTTTATTTAATTTTTGAAGAAAGTATAGATAAAAAAAAACCATATTTTCTTAGAAGTTTAATATTCTAGCTCTGAATTAAGAGAACACATACTTTTTTTTGACCTACCTGAAACAGTTTCATCGTAAGTACTTTCAGTAGCTTTGGCTTTCATTCTGCTCTTTAGTTCAGATTTTTCTGCATGAAATAGTCTAGTTTAATAGTCTAGAAAAACACACTATTAAACTAATGAATCTAACAAAACAGAACCTAATCTAGTATATTTTTCTGCTCCAAATTTCTCGTTGAAAACAAAGTAATTTAAAAATTTTAAACTATGATTTCAAAAATATCACAGAGAATAATATACAAAGAGAATATAAATCGAAAAAAACTTCGGGTGATATTTTAAGCTTACCTGGTACGATCAAAGATTTGTTAGTATCTTTTTTGCCAATGCCACTTTTTTTGAGTTCCAGAAATTTCTTTCCACTAGATTTGGCTTTAAAAAGCAGAATTGATCAATTATTTTAAGCATTTGTTGAATCATGTAACATTTCATTACAATGTATTAGTAAATAAGAATTTCAAGATTTTATTAAAACAATTCTTCACATTTATTTTTAACATCTTACCAATAAAATTTAAAGCATATACAAACCAACATTTTGTTTTGTTTTGGGGCCACTCCCACTGATGCTCAGGGGTTATGCCTGACTGCATGCTGAAATATTCCTGGTGGTGCACAGGGGACCATATAGGAGGACCATATCGGAGACCGTATGATCGAACCTGGATTGGCCTGCAAGGCAAGCACTCTACCTGCTATATTATCTCTCCAGTTCTGAACTGATACAATTTTTATTGATGGTTAGTAATTAGACAAATTTAACCATGTGGCAAAAAACACATCAAAATCACACCAAACACTGTATTTTATAATTTCTACAATACTTTTAAAAGGGCTGGAGCACAAGCACAGGGGGTAGGACATTTGCCTTGCACACAGTCAACCCAGGTTCAATTCCTCCGCCCCTCTTGGAGAGCCCGGCAAGCTACCAAGAGTATCCCGCCCACATGGCAGAGCCTGGCAAGCTCCCCATGGTGTATTCGATATGCCAAAAATAGTAACAAGTCTCACAATGAAGACATTACTGTTGCCCGCTCGAGCAAATCGATGAACAAGAGGAGGACAGTGCAGTGCTACAGTGCTACTTTAAAAAAAAAAATTACCCATTGGCAAAATATATCAATAAACATACCATATTAGCTTCAACGAGTTCCATTTAAGAGTTCCATTTCATTATGGAGGAAATACATTATTTACAACACTGATAAAAAATCTCTTAAGAACATGTAAAAACTGAAAAAAAGTAACAAATATGAAGTGGCAGCTTTTAAAAAGGAGGGGCAAGAGAGATAGTACAGCAGGTAGGGCGCTTGATTTGCAGGCAGCAGACCAGGGTTTGATCCCTGGAATCTCAGATATGTCCTCTGAGCACTGTCAGGAATTATCTGAGTACAGGGCCAGGAGTAAACCCTGAGCACAGCTGGTGTGGCTCCCAAATTGAAACATAAATAAAACGATGTGCCTGTTAAAAAAAAAAAAAAACCTCAAGGAAATAAAGATTAAACAATTTATCGGAGTGGAAAAAAAGTGCAAGGCTGAAAATGTACAGATGCCAAAAATCTATCTGTAGTAGCAGATACAATATATCAAAGTAACGCAAAATTTAATTCCTGTGTTAGATTTTAGATATTAAATTCCTATAATACTTTTCAAGACACTATTTACACATTATAAATTGTATAAATTTCAAACTGTTGATATATTATGTCTTTATAGATTTATTTATTTTGGGGGTTTGGAACACACGTGGCGATGATGAGCAGTTACTCCTGGCTCTGCATTCAGGAATCACTTCTAGAAGGCTCAGCAGATCATATGGAATGCCAGGGATCAAACCAAGAATGGCTGCATACAAGGCAGGGACCTAACCTGATATACTATCAGTACATTGTATTTTAAAGGCATAAGAACAAACTTTAATAAAATCTCTTATTCCCAACAATCTTACCTGTTTTGATTGAAGCTTTACCTTTAGCTCCTGTTAGCACAGATTTTACAGAACCAGCAGGTTTCCCTAAATCACAAAAACTAAAGTCAAAATTGGTTTATTTAACCAATAACAACAATCTGCAAAGAATCTAAGAATTTGCATAATGGGCTAAACTTAAACTATGATCTTTGGGGCACAGGTTATCTTCTTTTTCTTTTTCCTTTTTTCTTTTCGTTTTGGGGCCACACCCAAAAGTGCTCAGGGTTTACTCCTGGCTCTATGGGCAGGGATCATTTCTGGCAAGCTTGGGGGACCACACAGAATGGCAGGAATCAAACCTAGGTTGACCACAAGCAAGGCAAGTCATTTTCTAAATCTAGCAATAACAATAATTTACAGGAAAAATGACACCGAAGTAAGAACTCACATCCTGTTTTGAAATATGCAAAAATAGCAATCAGGAAAATGAAATAAATGTCTAAATGTATGGCTCTAGTAGCAAAAGTACTAACTGAAAGGATAACATAACTGTCTTAAGATGCTTTTAATGATTCCAAAAGCAGATTATTTAGGACCTCTCAACTACTGCTTCTACTGGCTCCCTCTAGATGAAAGAACTAAATTATACCTACATCACAGTTAGGACACAAATAATGCGAGATTCATTCCTAGTAGAATGTATCTTAATGATAAAGGGATATTTAAGAGGAAGGGAGAGGTTTTCCAAAGTAGTGCTCAGGGGGTCCCAGGGCCATTCCTGGCCATACTGGACCAAATAACATGTTATCGTTTAGACCCATCAGTGCTCAGGGAATCATAATGCTGGGATTAAACTTGGAACTGAATATGTGAAAGCACACACCCCTCACAACTGAACTATCCCCCAAGTAATTAATGGAAGTATTTAAATTGCTGACTCTTCTTCATAAATAGGAATGCATTATTATTATTATTAATAATAATAATAATAATTTTCTAAGATAGTATTAGAAAATTTTAATTTTCTAAGATAGTATTTAGAAAGACTGTGATCTTCAAAGATCAGTCAAAAATCCTTTCCAATAAGGCCAGAAGGACTTGTCAATGAGTGGGAATTACCACAAGGGTGTGAAGGATGGAAGGTAGTTAAGATAGAGGAGGGTGCATTATGACAATACTTGCTAGAAATGAATGATCATTCTGGACAAGAACTGAGTATTGAAAGTAGGTAAAAGGATATACAGGATAACCTTTCAATGTCTGTATTGCAAACCACAATGTCCAAAAGGTGTTGGGTGGGGAGGAAGGGAGGTGGGGAGAGGGAGAGGGAAGATAGAGGCAGGCTGGAGTAGGGGGTGGCTTGAAGGGGTGCAAGGGAAACTGGGGACACTGGTGCTGGGAAATTACACTGGTGGAGGGATGCGTGTTGGAACACTGTATGACTTGAAATGCAATCATGAACAGTTTTGTAATGGTCTATCTCATGGTGACTCAATTAAAAAAATATTCTTTCCAGTCAGATATCAATAAGCAAATTAAATTCTATAAATTAAATTAGCTGGGTGGTATAAAGTGGAATTGTCCAGGATCAGCAGTCAGCAGACAGATTCAAGCTGAATTCCAAGTTAAGCGGTGAAGTCATGGGCATTAACTGACTTCACATTTTCCCATTCATAAACAAGGTTGATGACTCTTATTACTACCTAACAATACATTAATACCTAATAGTACCCTGTGAAAATTGATCATGCTTCTAAAAGTTAACATACAAATAAATATTAATTACTAGCCACAAAATTCCAAATAGTTTACAAATCTAACCTTTACATCCGAAAACAGTCCCATCTTTGTTAAAAAAAAAAAAAAGAAAGTCATGCTCAAGGGTAGCAGACAACCAGGGAGTGTGGTCCAATGGTAGGGCCTGAAGATGCTCAGGTTCTGTTGTGCCAGGGAACACTAGGGCCCCCTAGGGGTGTTGGGAGTCACCAGAACCATGGCCAGCAGGGATTGTGGGGCTTCAGGGCTATACCAAGCAGTGCTGAGTTAGGGTATGATGTAAAGGGGTAGGGGCAGCACCCGTGCATTTGATCAGACCAATACTTGAGTCAGGAGAAGGTACAGGGCACAGAGCACACTAGGTTATCAAGGGCTAGCCAGGCAATGCCCAAAGGCTGCAGGGCTACACCTGGGAATGCTCAGAAGCCCATACAGTGCCAGAGATCAAATCCCAATTAGGTGCAGTAAAGGCTTGGCCCCTGTAACTTCTTCTGGCCCTTTACAAGGAATTTTCTCATCCTGCTCAGACTACATCTTTTAAAATGCTACTATATGAAAGCACTAAATAAGCCACAGAAAGTAACACTTCAGTTCAAGAAGGCTTTCTTCCTTTTCTATTACTCAAAGGAACATAAAATTAATAATCAGGAACAATGATTTAAAACAGAAGTTAAAGAAAATGGTTTTATTGCACCCAATCAGGATTTGATTCCTGGCACTACTATATGGGTTTCTGAGCAACTCCATTTTAGCCCTGAGGACTCTGGGAGCTACTTGACTAGCCTTCAGTAACCTAGGCACCACAGGGTCATAGCATCACAGCAACTGACCCCCAGGATTACTTAAGCACTCTTTATTTGGGAGGCATAGCTTCCACCAAATACGCAGTAAGTAACTTAAAAAGTTGACTCATTAGCCAATATTTAGCAGAAACAGGGAGAATAAAAGCAGCAGAAGTCTCAGGGGGAAAGAATAATTTTTGTTTTTGCGCTGCATCCTTAAATCCTCAGGGTTTATTCCTGGGGACCATTTGTGGCGCCAGGGAATAAACTCCGGTCAACTTCATGCAAAGACAAGCACCCTACCGGCTGACTGTATCTCGAGCACCAAAACACTGATTATTTAAAAACATACTACAGCTCATTAAGAAACTAAGTTCTGCAGAATTATCACTTTGACTACAATTAAAGGAAAAGAGAACAGTCATTCTTAGAAATAATTTCCCAGTTAAAAACATTTCTTTGGGGGCTGGAGTGATAGCACAGCAGGTAGGGCGTTTGCCTTGCATGTGGCCACCCCAGGTTCGATTCCCAGCAATCCATATGGTCCCCCGAGCACCGCCAGGGGTAATTCCTCAGTGCAGAGCCAGGAGTGACCCTTGTGCATTGCCAGGTATGACCCAAAAAGAAAAAAAAATTTTTCTTTTGATGATTACAAATAAATTAGGGCTGAAGAGACATATGGGTTACCACAGGTGGCATCCCAGCACTACACACACACACACACACACACACACGCACGCACGCACGCACGCACGCACGCACGCATATATGTACATGTATATGCATATGCACATACCCAATCACCTGAGCACTGGCAGGAATGATCCCTGAGCAAATCATGTGCTACATTCCTTCCCCCACCAAAAAAACAAATCAAAGTGCAGTAGCTACTTAACTCTCCTTCTTCCAAATTTCGAGATTATAATTTCAAAGGTTATAATATCAATCTCAAACTAATCTCATCATTTATTGATGCCCTGTGAAATACAAAGCTACCATTCACATGTTTATAATAAAGTTAACTAATATGTTAAGATTATAATGAAAACCATACCTGAAAATTTATTCACTTTGGCTATAGACGTCTTTGCTTGTCCAGTTTTGACTATAATAACAAGAAAAATACATTAATGAGACATTAAAAGTAACATCATTTAAATATCATGTAGTCCGTAAATGATTTTGGAAAAAACACACACAAGAAGCATCTCTATATTAATCTTTTATGATTGTGGAACTATAATTATAAATTTATTTAAATGTGGAATCACTGAGACAAAAAAAATTTTAATTTTTTAAAAATAATTAGCATTAAATTGTCATCCAGAAAGGCTGCAGTTAAAATTTCTATTATTAGAAAGTACATATGGGGCTTCCCTAATTAACACACTGTAGGTCAGAAAAATCATTCCCCCCCAAAATTGAAACTGGTATTTTAGTTCCTTTTATTATTCATAAAGCTCAGTTGTCTTTAATAGTTGTGCTCTCTCTACTCTTAATATCTGCCAATTTATTTTCTCATTTATTGAGTTTTTTTTTTTAAGCTTTATTTTCTTTTAAAGAAATATATCTAGGGCTGGAGCAATAGTACAGCAGGTAGGAGGCTTGCCTTGCTCGTAGCCAGTCTTGGTTTGATTCCCGGCACCCCATATGGTCCCCCCCAGCACAGAGCCAAGAATAAGCCCCGAGTTCCACTGGATGTGGCCCAAAACAACAACAAAGGATCTATCAAACACTGTGCAAAAATACTTATGCAATATAATTTCTAGGAAAAATTAGAAAATCTACACAATTCTACTTTCCAATCACTCAAAATATTAGTTTCAATATAAAAATTATCTATTAAAAATTTACAACATGCTCTACTTTCCTTCCAAAGACAAATATTCAAAACACAATTTCATTTTCTTAATTTATCTACTTTTGCTTTTTTGTCTTAGCCTACTCTATCAAACTCTAATTTTACTAGACTGGAAAGTCCAAGGGCTGGAGCGATAGATAGCACAGCAAGTAGAGCGTTTGCCTTGCACGCAGTCAACCCGGGTTTGATTCCTCCGCCCCTCTCGGAGAGCCTGGCAAGCTACCGAGAGTATCCCGCCCACACAGCAGAGCCTGGCAAGCTCCCTGTGGCATATTCGATATGCCAAATACAGTAACAAGTCTCACAATGGAGATGTTACTGGTGCCCATTTGAGCAAATTGATGAACAGGAGGACAGTGCTACAGAAAGTGCATGTTCTCGTATGTATATGCAAGGAATACCCATTCCCTAGTACTGCACCAACTATCCATTCCCCCTCTCTATGTGAATGCAGTAACTTCTTTCCACCTTTTCAATTCCACATGGACTAATGAAAAAGATAGACGTGGTTCATCTGTAGAGTACTTGCCTTTCATATGTGAAGTCCTGGATTCAATTCCTATCACTGCTGAGAAAGAAAAAAGAGAATGATAACTCAAGTATAAACAAAATTCATTTAAATTATGAGTAATAATTAAAAAGTCTTTTCCTGAAACTACAGAAACAATCTTAGTGCATTAATCTAGTAATATCCATTTCTTTGAACCATTTTTGTTTCTGGCAGTCAGCAGACTTTGATCAAAGGAAATCAGATAATTATGCAACACTTTCGTCTTTTGTTTACGCAATAAAAAAGGTATTACAAAACTAATCAAGTTACATGTGTAAATATCACTTAGGATGCCTCCATGCAATCACTATGAACATTCGTTAATTTAAATAATTAAATATTTATCTAGCCATTTAGGGGACTGCAAAAAAATAACTAAATCTCTCTCCACATATATGATGTCACTGAGTCAGTATTCCAAAAATAATTTTTAACTACCTGGTACTAAATGTTCAATACTAGCTTTATACAGAAGTCAATGTGGGCTCTATTTCAGCACAATATATGTTTTACTAACATCTTAAGAAAAATTTCAATTAAACTGACAAGATATTCATTTGAAGAAGTACTAAAAAACCCAACTTACTAGCAGTCACAGTTTCAGCAGCTTTGGAAGTATCGGAATCCTTTCTATTTAAGAGAACAAAGTATTAGACAAAGAATAAAATTTTAAGTTTTAAAATTCCCAAAAACTCAAAGTGTAAATTTTAAATAATTTGAAATAATTTGAATGACATCCCACTTTTTAAACTGAAGGGAGTGTAATAAATATATTAAAAGCAATTGTAAAAAAATAAAATTCAAACACAAATTCCTTCTCAATACGAAATCGCAAACTTACTTTAATGTAGATGAAACTGTTTTCTTTGAATCTATTGTCTTCTTTTTCAACTCTTTGTTCTATTAAGAAAGTTATTTGAAAAAAATTATTTCTTCTTCAACTATAGAAAGCAATTTAGATCCACAAAAGCTTATTTTAAGAGTTTATTACGTACACACAAAAAGGGAAAAAAAGCAATTTAGAAAATACATCAACGTTAAATAAGCATATTAATCTTCCTATTGTAACGTATGATTATTAGATTTTTCTATTTACAGTTCAATTTTTAATCACGCGGTATAATTTTACACCCCACCTTCTGTCAGTCACCTACATTTTACTTTCTTTTTTGGTTTCTTGTGTCACATCCAGGTGTGCTCAAGGCTATTCTCAGCTTGGTGGTCACAGCAATATCAGGGGATAATGTGGTGTAAGGATAAAGCCTGGGATTCTTGGACAATGTGTGGCCTCCTCATGCACTGTCTTTCATTTTGCTGTACCATCTTGGCCTTGGTTTAAACCTGGCTGTGCTTAGAGTCCCTCCTGACTCTACACTCAGGCATCACTCCTGGCAGGGCTCATAGGAGTTTGTTATTCCCAGGATGGAACCAGCATTTCTGCCTTTCTCTCCCCTTATTTCCTAAATCAGGCTCTTTACTTCACTATTCATCTCCTCCTGAAATTCTTGTCTGTGAGAGAAAGCAATGGACCTGGAAAGACTTAGGACTGACTTTCCTTTCTAGCAAAGAGCAATTGCAAAGGGGCTGGAGTGACAGCACAGCGGGTAGGGTGTTTGCTGTGCAAGCGGTCAACCCGGGTTGTCCGATTCCCAGCATCCCATATGGTCCCCTGAGCACTGCCAGGAGTAATTTCTGAGTGCAGAGCCAGGAGTAACCTCTGAGCATCGCTGGGTGTGATCCAAAAAAGAAAAAAAAAAAAAAAAACCAAGCAAAATAAATAAATAAATAAATAAATAAACCCTTCTAAGGGCTGTAAGTACAACAAATAGTCCTCTGAAATAATTCCCGGAACCACATAGCTCCCCTACATACTTTTTCATGTGTGTGAGGAGCTAGGAGCTAGCACCAAAAAAGTTGTATCTTGGGCTAGAAAGATACCTCAAGGGCCGGAGTACATGCTTTTGCATGCAAAAGGCAAGGAGGCAAAGGAGTGGTCCCCAATGCTATGTGTTCACCTGAGCACTAAGGATGCTCACTTGAGGATGTGGCCTCAAAAAATAAGTTACTAAATTTCACTACATTTGCATTTATACACTACTAACTGCTGCGTGAACATTTACATTGCTGTTTTCCAATATGCGTACTTTAGAAAAAAACACATAAAATTTACATACAACTTACCTGGGACTTTTTCTTTCCTGGAACACATACTTTAACACTTTTCCCTTTTATCAAAAGAGGTGTCGTTTCAATATATTTCATGACTGCAGTAACTGTTTCTTTATATTCCATTTCCAAATAAGCCTAAAATAATGGAAAAAAATCTTCTACATTATTTGTGGATCATAAAACTCTAAAATTACCTCAAGTTCTGGTTACTTTCACCTCTTTTTTGTTTTGCTAAAGTATAATCTGTACTATTACCAAGAAAAAGGAAGTGTATTATCCATGACAGTATATAGGACAATAACAAATAGGAAAGCAGAGATCACTGAACAAAAAGTAGCAGAATCTAATCTAGCTGCTGTATCTGATGATTTTTAAGTCTTCTTGCAAGAAAAAACATTACCAACCTTGTTCCCTTATCTCAGAGTTTTATGTTCTGCTTAGTTTAGAAATGTGCCTTAAACTTAATAAACTCTACTATGTACAGGACTAAATATCACATGTAAAAAAATACCTAGTACGTAAAGAAAAGTGTTTCAGTAAATTCTTATTAGTGTGCTAAAGCAATTACTGGCAAAGAGGCCTCTTGTCTGTTCTTATGAAGGGTGGATGTAAGGAACTGGGTCACATCCAGTAGTGTTGAAAGGTGATTCCTGGCTCTATGCTCATGTTGCCTAAGATTGTAGTGCACTGAATTCTAAACATGGTCAGTGGGATGCAAGGCAAATAATTTACCCCTATGCATTTTTTTTGACTGTTCCTTTATTAATTTTTTTTTTTTCAGTGAAACACCATGAGGTAGTTGTAGACTTACAGATTTCTGTGCTTGGGTTTCAGTTATACAATGACTGAGTACCCATCCTTCCACCAGTGCCCATTCCCCACCACCAATGCTCCCGGAATCCCCCACCCCCACCCCACCCCTGTGGCAGCGCATACCCTTTTGTTCTCTCTTTTTACCGCTTATGCTATTTCTAAGGCCCCTCTCACCAATTTTTGTAAGAAGTTTTTATGATAATCATGTTCATCCATTCATATATTATCTATAACTGATCTTGTATTATGAAAGCAGTGTCAAATAACTGCAATCCTAAGGGAAAGGCAAAGCCTTACTATGTGACCCTTTACAGAAAGATTGCTAAAACCGGTTACACCCATCACAGTGCTCCTGAGGCACTCCCATTCCTGTGTGTTTATCTTTAACCTCTTCTCTGTGCTCTGCTTCCCCAATCGGTCATCAACTTTATCCCCTAATTAGACTCTGTTAACTTGTAAGGTCAGATCCTTCTAAGGACACTGGATTTGTATTTGTAAGTGAAATATTTTTTTCTCTTCTTATGCCCTTTGAATAGTTACTTCAGAGCAGTGTCCCTTTTGTATAGACAGGAAGACAGTTAATGCTATGCTTTTGTAACTTGGAAGTTAACTGACTCCAAATAATAATTCACTCCTGAGCATCTGTTTTCTCAACTTAAGCCTCAGTTGCCCGCAGGGTCTCGACGAGGGACTGGATGGACCCAAATCAAGCCATCGATGGGCCAGGCCAAGCGCCATAATTCTTAACTATAAGTTAAGACCACAGTCATGGACAAATTCTGCCATGATCCAAAGAGTAACAAGTGGATTAGGACCTTGCTAGGGTTAGGAAAGACTAATCTGGCCTAAGCACTGTAGTCTGAGATCTATAGTGAGATGTCCCCAGGAGAGCCACCCTGTAAGTTTAATATATCTCTTACTGCGTTCATATAAAATGACTAATATTATCATTAAGTAGAAGTAAGATAAATGTTTATATTTTATATGGTTGTAGGACTAAGGAAAGGAGAAACGCATCCTTAGATGGTTATTTCATCCTTAGGCAGGTCGTCTTGCTGAATGAAAATTTGTCCTAGGAGCAGCTTCCCCTGAAAGAAGGACTTTATATCACTGATTGTATGATCACACCTATGTGTAATTGCTACCCTAATCCCCTCATGATTTGGGATATAAATAAGGCTATAAGAGTGGGCAGAAGAGGAATGAAGGAGAATCGGAAGAATCAAGGAGAATCAGAGAATGCAGACAAGACTGGAATAAACTGCAACTGATCCAACCAACCTGGCCCTCATTTCCCTTTCATCTGCCCACTGCCATCGGCCATCCAGGGTGGGGAAAGCGGCCCGAGACAACCAAACGTAGGCAGTGAGAGAGCGCTGCAGCTTCATATTCATTTTCTGAATACACAATTTGAATCTCCAAACACAGACTTCTCAAACGATACATGTGTAGTAAAATAACTAAAATTTCCAACAAGTCTTTAAAATAATGACTTTGCATGCAGTTTAGATTCAAATGAATGACTCACCTCCTTTCTATATGGAACAATAAGGATATCATTAACTTTCCCAAACGGCTGAAATATTTTCTTAACATCATCTTCAGTACACCCATCCTCTGGTAATTCAGATACAAGTAGAACTGAACCATAAGGTGAAGTCTGATCTTTCCGAAGCTATTTTTTGGGATAAAAGAAAATTTTAAATAAACCAAATTAAACCACAATGTAGAATAAAAATATTTTCCAATATAATTTTTCTCCGTCATTAACCTTAGTATTTTAAACAGTCTTTTCTAAGTATTTTAGCACAATTAAAAATTTCAGTGGAGGGCCGAAAAGGTGGTTCAATGGTAGTCTTGCAGTATATTAAAATTAAGCCCTGTGTTCAATTTCCAACACTGCTTATTCCAGAGTCTGAGCAGTAAGATGCTGTTCACCCCTTTGCCATCCAAGATTCTCAATTTAGAGCCAGAGATAGCACAATCGTTGAAGTACATGTTTAGCACCCTGGAGTATTATGTGGAGAAATCCCCAAGCAACAAGCTAGGAAGAGCCCCTCAGCATGCTTGGTGTAGTTCAAAAATAAAATGTAAAAATGCTTTCTGGTTTCCAATTAAAAACAAAACTAGTAATAAGTTTACATGTAAGTAACAGGCACGCTAAAATTAATTCAAAGCTATTATAGAGTACTTCTTTGAAGTTTGTTTTGGGGTTTTGGAGACAGACCTGGCAGTGTTCAGGGAACAGTCTTGATCTGTATTCAGGAGTGACCCTAATCAGTGCTTAGGGCACAATATGCAGTGCTGGGGACAGAACAAGGGTTGTATATATGCAAGGCAAGCATCTTAGCTCCTGTACTATCTCTCTGGCTGAAGAGAGTAATTTTTCTTATGAAACTGCACTACCCATCACTAGCTAAGCCAAAAGTACAGCTTTGTTCACACTGTGTTCTAACAATTTAAAATCATTTAAAGGTCAGAGAAATGATCCCTGCGTGGGAAGCCAGGAATAAGCCCTGAATAATGCTAGGTATGACCCAACCCTTCCTACCCCCTGCAAAAAAAATAAAAACAACCCTTTAAAAAAATGTTATCTGGTATATTTAGGTCAATAAAGTAACAGATTTCCCACCTGTGAATTAAAAAAAAATGTCTAGGAACAGACAAGAAAATACAGTGTGTAAGGTACATGCTTACATTGCACATAGCCAAGCCCAGTTTGTATCAACACTGCATATGGTCCCCTGAGCACTGCCAGGAGCCAATCCTTGGCAGAGTCAGGAATAAGCCCTGAGCACTAGCAGGTATGGCCCCAAAGCTTCTGATATCATAATAACAACTATCTGAATAAATGAAAACTAACAAAGATGTACTGACCTTACGCTGAAGAGAAACCGGTTTATCAGACACCGGTTTACATTCTGGTAAGGTTTCATCTTCAAGATTCTTTGATTTATAACGAGTAGAATGTGCTAAACTCGAATCACTCTTTGTAGCACTTGTAGATTTAATGAATGGCTTTGATCCACTGCCAGTTTTAGGCTTTAGTGCTGGTGAGAGTCCTTTATCAACTGCTTCATGATGCTTCTGTTTACTAAATTCTGTCCCATATCCAGATCGCTGTACTACATCTTCTAATGCTTTTTTCCTATCTAGTATAAGGATATAATTATAATTTCAGTTAAAAAGAAATTAAAGTAGGAACAAATATCATGACATTAAGGAGGAAAAAAAAACCCAAGTGCTTACATATTATTACAGAATATTTATTACAGTAAAGGTAAAGGCCCTCCCGTTGATCGTCGATTTGCTCGAGCGGGCCCAGTAACGTCTCCATTGGAGACTTTGTTGTTACTGTGTCTGGCATATCGAATACTCTCGGTAGCTTGCCGGGCTCTCCGAGAGGGGCGGAGGAATCGAACTCAGGTCGGCCATGTTGGCCGCTTGTAAGGCGAACGCCCTACCCGCTATGCTATCGCTCCAGCCATCTTGGGCCAAATATAGAACATATGCACAAAAAACTTTTTACTGAAGTTTTCTGATTCAATGAGCTTCTCTTACACCAATTACCTAAATTTTTGTTTAAACAGTCAGGGAAGTAGCACAATGGTTAGATATATGTCTGGAATGTACCAGCCCTGGTCGTCTCCAGCACCAGGCGGCTTCCCTAGCAGTGCCAGGTATAGCCCTGGAGGTACCTGAGAAGTGCTGGGATAGCCCTGGTGTAACCAACAGTGCAGAGCCTGAGTGGCACCACATCCTCAGACACTACCATTCTATAGATAAGCATGGCTGAGAATTGCAAGATATGGCCTACAGAACTCTTAAAGACCACCTGGTAATTTGGTTTTTATTCTACTTTTTGCTCTTAAAAAGGGAGAACTTTAAAGAGCTTTCATTTTGTAAAATTTATTAAAACTCACAATATAATTAATACAGGCCTTAAAAAAAGTACATGATTTTGGTTTTGGTTTTCTGGGGGCGGGGATGGTGGTGGTGGGGGGGTTGGCTTTTTAAGTCACACCCAGCGATGCTCAGGGGTTACTCCTGGCTCTGCACTCAGGAATTACTCCTGGCAGTATTCAACCATATGGGATGCTGGAGACTGGACCCGGGTTGGCTACATACAAGGCAAATGCCCTACTAGCTCTACCATCACTCCGGCTCCAAAATCCCACGTTAATATATCTCTAAAAACTACTTTAAATCCCAAGACACAAAATGGTTAGTCAAATGAGTAGCCCCTAGCACCTCTGTATTATTTTCCCATACATTGCAATGCTGGGCTTCAAGACATCTAAATTCTATCAAAATCTAATTCAGTTCACTAGAAACATTACTTGATTAAAATATGCAAAGAAAATCCAGCTTCATAGATAAGAAATGGAAAACCTTATAGATTTCTGAAAAGATTGTAAAGAATAAATAAAATTTGTGTAAGTTATTGTTAAAAAGATAACGAAACAGGGGCTGGAGCACAGCGGGTAGGGCATGGCCAACATGGCCGACCCAAGTTCGATTCCTCCGCCCCTCTCAGAGAGCCCAGCAAGCTACAGAGAGTATCTTACCCGCAAGGCAAAGCCTGGCAAGCTACCCATGACGTATTCAATATGCCAAACACAGTAACAATTGTCACAATCAAGAGCACAGGCCTCATAGGTATGAGGCCCTTGGCTTGACCAAAGCACTGCAAGAATCAAAACCAAAACCGAAAAAACCCAACCAAACCACAATAAGTAGACTATCTATAACCCTAAATGTACCTGATGATCTCACTGATCTCCTTACTGTCCTTTCAGGACTAACTGATCGGTAACATTTCGGACTGCCCCTATATGAATTTCTCATTCGATGTGGTGAACGGGATCTGGACCGGTATCTAGAAATATAGCGATGGCAAATTCTTGGACTTCGACTTCTTGGTCTATATATATATTGCGTTGGACTTCGAGACCGTCGGAATCTGTGACTTGAGCTTGATCTCCTGGAACGTCTAGGACTGGGGGAATGAGAACGTCTTCTTGGAGTTTCATTTTCTTTCCTATTGCCTTCATTTCTACAAAGTACGAAAATCACACAAGATTTAGTAACTTCAAGTAAAATTAAACTATATAAAAGTACCTTCTTAAAGAAACAGTACCAAATGGAAACTATGATTTATTTAAAAATAATCATGTTATAAAATTCAATCTTATAAATAAGAAATAATCAGAACACATCATCAGCCCTCTAATTGTTTGAACACCCTGTTTAAGTAAATTTTGGATGACTATCTTGGGCTCTTCCTAGACCAAAATTATATCCAATTATGATTGAAAGCATTAACAAAGAATTTAAGACATGACTTCCACAAACAAATGGTTTCAACAACATCTTCCTAAAAGATTGTGTCATCTAATATTTGCAAACATGTACTTATGTATATGTGTGTATGTATATTGTATGTACATAAACATACATAAACATACACATACACACACATTAGGATAGTTTATCACTCCAGTCTTCTGAGCACTAAATCTCACAGCTATGAAATAGTAATTATAAAAAAAGTTTTAGAAAAGACACAGAAAAAAAACAGAAGCTCATAGAAAGGAGTTATCACATTTAAGCTGGGGTAATTAAAAAAAGATTCAGAAGTTGTTGCATTTGCTTGCTGTTTAAAAGTAAAAATGGTCAAAACAGGAGTCAATTCAAAACAATACCATTTTTTAAAAAGTACTTCTTTACTTTTTTAAAAAAAAGAGTATCAAGTTTCATTAATACTATTAAAAAGTAGTCACCTTCTTGATGGTAGGATCTCAGGATTCCAATCAGGATACCTATTTTGAGAATAAATAATATTAATGAACAGTTTTTAGAAAAGACTAAGCTCAATTATTCTTTCCCTGAAGGAAAGACTGATCAAACTTACATGATTTTTTAGTATAATAAAAATATAAAATCTGTCATGAAAGTAAAATAATTTTAGTATAGTAAGTCATTATGCTAGTAAGCAATTAAGGGGGCAGAAGAGACACATTCCCCATACTTTAAAGGCTTTCTATTTACGTAAAATAAACAGTACACTTAAAAGTGTTAAGACATACTGAAAAGGTAGTAGATACAAGTTTAAACTGTGGGGAGAAGGTTCACAGTTCACCCACTTTGCAGAATTCCACGGGACACTTTTCTACGAAAACTACATGAATGGTGTCCCTTCCACGGTACCAAGTAATCGTAGGAAAGATATATCTAGTGGGAGGAACTAGAAAGTTGGTTTTCTGATAGCTGTAATAAAAGTCTCTTTCAACAAGCATGAATCAGGTTAGGTTTCTTCAACTGGTAATACATAAAAGAAACGTGGACAAAACATCAGTCTGGCCATAGAAACAAGAGGGGAAAAATCTGAGAAAAATTAAAAAATATGGGCCAGGGACAGACTAGCTCAGTGGGAGATCACTTGCATTGCATGAGTGGTTCCCACCACCCCCTCCCCGCCCCCAGGTTTGATTCTTAACACCACAGAGTTTAAAATAAAAAATGCTGCATATAAATAAAAGGTTCTAGGGAACAAAACATTCCTAAAGAACGGAGGGCATAAGAATATTTTCAGAACTGGAAATAAGTATCTGAAAAAGGGGCTGACATATTCATAAACCAAGCATGAAGGAACCACAGTTACAATATAATAAGAGTGAGTAAGTCCAACAGAATGGATTTGGAGATAGCAAACTGAGGAGAGAATACACATACTAAGTTAAGAACAGACAAATACATATTAATGAAAGAGATGAAAGGACAATTATATAAAGAAAAATTAGAGTATCACAGAAATTAAACAAAAAGACATTTCCATTCTTAACTTTTCTAGAGAATAAAGACTGTAGATGTCAGGATAGTGATTAAATCACATTATTAAATTATTTTTCGGCCGACCTGGATTCGATTTCTCCACTGCTCTCCGAGAGCCCTGCAAGCTACCGAGAGTATCCCACCTGTACAGCAGAGCCTGGCAAGCTCCCCATGGAGTATTTGATATGCCAAAAACAGTAACAACAAGTCTCACAGTGGAGACATTACTGGTGCCCGCTCAAGCAAACCAGAGCTATGATTAAACTACTTTTATTTAAAAAAAAAAAAAAAGGTTCGGGGCTGGAGCAATAGCACAGCAGGTAGGGCATTTGCCTTGCCTGGGTTCGATTCCCAGCATCCCATATGGTCCCCTGAGCACTGCCAGGGTAATTCCTGAGCGCAGAGCCAGGTGTGACCCCCCCCCCAAAAAAAAAGCTCAATCCACAAACGAAACACAGATAAAGAAATGAAAGCAGCAAACTCAGTGAGTCTCCTAGCAGGGGAATAGGTCAAAAATCTAGTACATGCAACATGGATTTTTGTTGTTAATCTATCTCAGAATTTGTTAGCTGAGTGACACGATTAATTTCTTTATTTTTGGTTTTTGGGCCACACTTGCAATACACAGGGGTAAGTTTTGGCTATGCACTCAAGAATCACTCCTGGCAGTGCTGGGGGACTTCATGGGATAGTCCCATGACTCAAGATCAACTCTAAACTCCCCTCTCCTTGTGTGCCTCTACTATAAGGACTTAAAAAACAAAAATAAAATCAGACTAGAGAGTTTGGTGGGTAGGATACTTGCTTTGCATGTGGCGACCCAGGTACGTTCCACAGCAACCCATTTGTCCCCTCAAACAATGCCAGAATAATTCCTGAGTGCAGAGCCAGGAATTATCCCTGAGCCATCACCTGGTATGGCCCAAAAAACCAACCAAACAAACAAAAGTTAAAAACAAACCTATCTACTTTCACTTTAAGATTTAGGTTTAAAAAACAGAAGGACTAAGAAAACTTTTGCTTCCCCTTCCTGATTTAAAGTATGTTCCTATGTTAAAACATGACAAACTATGAAAAATTAAAATATTAATATATATCACCAACAATTGTGAATTCATGAACTGTGAATTCATGAGCACATGACAGCTTTACTTCATGTATTCATACTTCAAAGATAAAGTCATATCTATGGCATAATTATTAAGGGTAAAACCTATGGAATCGAACAAAGCTGGATCTAAATCTAGGTACTATAACAGATGGCTGTTAACATATGTTATATTTCTAAGGTCCTCCAGTTTTTCAAGTCACAAGAACTTGAGAACTTGGTCCCCTGTGCCATTCAAGAGCTGGCATGCATGAATTTTTCAGATGGTTACTGAGCTGACTACAGAATACAGGTTCTCATATCTGCTGCCCAGAACAAAAGATAAAGATACAATTCCAAAAGTAGAATTTGAAATCCTTGTATATTGCCTCAACAATTTAAAATAGTTTTCAGGAGGCAGAGTAACAGTAAAGTAGGTAGGGCACTTCCATTGCACATGGATGACCCAGATCCAAATCCCCAGAGTGTATCAATGATTTTCAAAAGCTCACAGTAAAAAGAGAAAAACCAAAAAGCAAAAAATATTTCTAACATTTTTAAGAGAATCCAATTCAGATGTTCTTGAAATCAGAGCCACTTAGGCTTCCCAGTTAATGAGCTAATGAAATTTCTAAAAGATTGAGTTAGCTCATTATTTATGACTAGAAAAGCCTTCTAAGTTATTCTGAAATTATTCAATCATGAACATTTTTGGCATTTCACAAAAAAACAAAACTCAATTGCCACAAATCCACTGGTAAAAACCTGTTACTACTGTCTAGTGGCTACGAAGTTAATACCTAACTAGATCAGTGATTACTGAGAAAGACAGGATTATTAAAAATCACACTTTTGTGGGGGGAATGCAGAGTGAGAGTACAGCAGGTAGGATGCTTGACTTGCACATAGCTGACCCCGGTTCAAATCCTGACACCTCTTAAGGTCCCCTACGCACCCACAAGGAGTGACTTCTGAGTACAGAGCTAGGACATGAGCATCACAGGGTGTGACCCAAACCAATACAAACTCACTTCCTGTCTTCATAGGTGTCCTGGCTAAAAAAGGAAAGAGGAAGATTTAAGATATCATCTTTATCTTCTACTTAAGGTTTAATCTGAAAATAAACTGTAAATCAGAGAAAGCTTTGGCAAAACAACACATCTATCTTCTTTATCTTCTACTTAAGGTTTAATCTGAAAAGGTAAAGGTAAAGGCCCTCCTGTTGATCGTCGATTTGCTCAAGCGGGCCCAGTAACGTCTCCATTGGAGACTTTGTTGTTACTGTGTCTGGCATATCGAATACTCTCGGTAGCTTGCCGGGCTCTCCAAGATGGGCGGAGGAATCGAACTCGGGTCGGCCATGTTGGCCGCATGTAAGGCGAACGCCCTACCCGCTGTGCTATCGCTCCAGCATATACTAAATCTGAAAATAAACTGTAAATCAGAGAAAAGCTTTGGCTCTATACTAAGCACTGGTGTTTGGTTTGAATTTTTAGTTATTCATCTTTTGAGCATAAGGGTGGGGAACAGGTGAGAGATAGGAAAAAGAAAAAGAATCTGCTTTGAAATAGATAATTCTACAAAGGAAGGCAAGTCAGCAAGGAATGAACCAATGATGAAGTTACAAACCTAACTACTGCAAGAGTATAAGAAATAGCTCAAAGAGCTGGAGGATATGCTTTACACGCAGGGGACCCTATTTCAATCTCTGGCACCACATGCTTCCCTCAATTGCCTGGAGCAACCCCAAACACTAAGCCAGGAATAGAACAGCTTTGAGAACTGTCAATTATGGTCAAAAAACAAAGTAAACAAAGTCTTACATTTTGATTAAACTAGTTAAGAGAGGAAGGCGTATTTAATTTTTTTTTTGAAAAACATTAAATATACCCTTGTAAAACTATTATCGCAAATAAACAATGACTTTTTAAAAATATTTTTCTCCAAAATATCACACTAAAGCACTTAGTCTATATACATGAACACTAACAAATCTGCATATTTGCATCCTCTAAAAATGAAAAAATTGTTCTTACTGTTGACGTAACTGTCGGCAGCTCTCAATATGAGTAGATGTATTTTGATGTTGAATCCAATCCTATTATAAAAGAAGAGTGCTAAAATTAGAATATTTCTATTGACTAATGAAACTGATTATCTTTAATGACAGCATTTTTGTTTTCAAAAAATTAAACAGATCTAGTTATAAACAGCAGTCAAAATTTTTATAGAAAGAAAAGGTGCCCCAAGTATTCAAAACACATAACTTATTAACACCATTAAATATATTTTGTACCAAAAAACTTAAAATATCATACTCATTAGAAATAAAATGTAAGTGTGAATTTCAAGAAAATAAAAGAACAAAAATAAATCATCTCAAATATACTCAAGTAAAAACCTACTCAAACACCTAAATTTTCACAGAAAAAATGGTTTCTGATAAGGCATCCTTACACTATAGAATCTCAATAATTTCTACCTCAAAATTCAAGGTAAGCTATTTAACCACAAAAATATCCTACGTCTTAGACTAGTACCATCCAAACAAGGAACACACTGTATTAGCAAAGAATAAGCCAAGTACAAAAAAAAAAGATCAAATCTTATTTTTAAGATCTAAAGGAAAGGAACACCATCTTAAAGACAGAATATCCCTTACACATATGCATTTATCAACAAAATTCTTATACATTACTTCATTTATAAATCTGCCCTAAAATTACATTCTGTACCAATATACATCTATATATACAAAAACAACAAAAACGATGAAGAGTTTTCAAAGATCAAGCCCCCAAGTGCCAGTTTTTTAAAAAAGGAAAAAAAGCAATGTGTATATCCATTCGATTTTATTGTTTCTCCAACATTTGGACAGGCAGAAAGTTTTACTGAATAGTTTTATATTTTTAATTTTTCCTTGAACAAAATGCTATTTATTTCCATTTCAAGAGCTCCACATTTTACCATTGGTAAAGACGAACTATGTTTCCATCTATAGTTAAAACCAGTTAACACTGATTTTGAATCTGCCTTGCCAACTACCTGAAAATAAGTGCATACTATCAGCAACAAGTTATGAGAAACTCTAGACTATTTCATTAAATCATGGAACTGTTATGGATTACAAAACAAGTAACTGTATATTCAACTCATATATAAATAGAAAATTCTAAGAAGGCGATAATTTAAGAGTTCTCCAACACTGGCAAAACCATGTCTCTTACATTCACTGAATACTATATCGAACAAACACAATGGCAGGTAATGGTGGACTAGCATGACCATTATTTGACCATTAAATTTTATTTACTTTGGTGCCAGGATCAAACCCAGGGTGACTTTCATGCATGCAAAGCAGGTGCTCTAACACTGAGCAATCTATGTTTCTTCGCTTAATGAGTTGCCCACATGTAAAATCTAGAAATCTTAACACCAAATTCATATTTCCAGTTTTTCCTTAAAAAATATGAAGATTGGGGGCAGAGATACAGTACAGCAGGAAGGGCGTTTGGCTTGTACGTGGCTGACCCAGATTCAATCCCCAGCATCCTATATGCACCCCCCCCCCCCCCCACCAAGCACCACCAGGAGTAATTCCTGAGTGCAGAACCAGGAGTAACCCCTGTGCATTCTGGGTGTGACCCAAAAAGGGGAAAAAAATGAAGATAGGGTAATGCTGTGATACAGTTCATGTAGCAACTAGCAACTGATGCTGACAGCTTGCCCTATTAAAGGCAGTTTGACAAACATACACATCACACAGCCACTCTACTGTCTGCTGAGAGGCTTTCTCAGGGGATAGGGAAATAGCTCAAAGGCAAAGAAAATGCTTCGCATACAGTACCACCCAGGTTTGATCCCAGGCACCCTGTGATTTACAAGCAACCCCCTCCCTCAAAAAAAAAAAAGGAAAGAAAAAGTAACCACTGGAAATCCACAGGCTCACTTCACTAATAACGCTGTCTTTAAACTCAGTAAACAGGGCAGAAGAAATAGTTCACAGGGCTAAGTGGGAGGTCAAGTTTCAGTCCCTGACTTCACTTGGTACCTAAGCACTGCAAGTATGGCCCCAAAACCAGGAATAATAAATTCAGTAAATTCACCTACCTTTTTACCAGTGCAAGTTCTTAAACTCTCTAGTAACAATATTCAATTAAAGGTACAAAAACAGTACCTTTTGAGAGAAAGATACTACCTCTTGAGAGAAAAAGTGCTAATTACTTACTAAGCAGATACGACAGTGACTATAGGCTTGATTAGGTCGAGAATCACTACATGAAGGTAACTGTACATATGGGAGCTTCCTCCTCCAACTACCTCAAAAATCTTAAGTTATTTTCTCAAAATGAAATATTTCAGAAAGATCTGCAACTCCTCATCTACAGTCTTAACCCCAATTTAGAAATAAACTTCACATTCTATAGCTGAACCTTTTTCAAGTTGTAAAGACTATTAAGAGGGGCCAAAGAGATGGTAAAACTAGCAGAGAATTTCATTTGCTTGCACAGGACAGACTTGGATTTAATTGCCAGCACCCCATATGGTCCCCTGAGCCTGCACCAAGGGGTATGCCCCCCCCAGCCTCTCCCCGCCCCCCCCCCAAAAAGACTAGTAGTAAACACTGTCAGATGCTAGTTGGTATGAAAAAACTTATAATTAGTAATTTACACATAGTGGCTATATTTTTGTCACATATGTCACACTTGTAAGACATAAGATATACCACAGAAATTAAAGGTAACACTCTAAGTTCACATTCACAAATCATTTGGTGACCGAGAACTAAAGAATTTTAGTTGCACTATACTGTTTTGACTGTTAAGTATGTGAAATGGTATCAATTTTTGTGAGGTCTACTGATGACCAAATTTCTTCTCTCTTTAAGTTTCATTTTTATCATATTAACCCAGACTTTCGCCATGTTATAAATGAACAGTCTGGAATTAAGTGTATTACCCTCTTTCATTCCTATTTATCCTGTAAACCCAGACTGTTTTCAACTCTAAAACTCCACATGTCATTTTCTATCAAGAACCTAGTAATTGACTTTAGAATACCTCACATTAAGTCAAATTTCTGTCGACTAGTTTTCCAAGGCCTTTTATATTTATTTTTAAACAGACTGACCACATCTTTCCAATCACCTTCCAACACAAGATAATGTGGTCTTTTTTTCTTTTTGTTAGCACGTTTGCTCCTCTACATAAATAATGTTGCTTCCATCTAGAATGCCACCCTCTTCCCTGATAATATATGCCTACTCATCACTCAAGACCTCAACCTATATCATGAAATCTCACTCTAATCCAGTTAAGCTACACTGTAGCACTGTCCTCCTATTGTTCATTGGGTTGCTCAAGGGGGTCCAGAACCCCTCCATTGTGAGACTTGTTATTGGGTTTGGCATATCGAATACCTCACAGGGAGTTTGCCAGGCTTCGCCAGGCAAGATACTCTGGGCAGCTTGCCGGGCTCTCCGAGATGGGCGGAGGAATCGAATCTGGCTCGGCTGGCTGGCCACAGGCAAGGCAAACGTCCTACAGCTGTGCTATCATTCCAGCCCCACAGAGGTCTTTTATCTTTTGGGGGGGTAAGGGGAACAAGGGGGCAAGGGAGGTAACACAACACTGGGGTCACACCCAGCGGTACTCAGAAATCACTCTTGGCTGGATCACAGAATCATTAGCAGTGGGGCTCAAACTGGAGGTCACCACAAGTAGGTTCAACCACCATACTAACTCACTGTCTCCCTAGAAGCCTTTAAAAAAAATTCATTATTTTTTGGCTTTTTGGGGGGCCACACCCACTAGGTACTCAAGGCTTTCTTCTGGCTCAGTACACAAGGATCACTCAAGGATCACTCAAGGGACCTTGTATATTATCAGTGATGAGCCAAAATGAAAATTGTATCAATTGTATACATCTCTTCAGTCCCATACTGCTAAACATAATAGATGTTATCAAACTAACAATGCTGGTCTGAACTAATATAAAATGAAACTAAGAGATAAACATTATCTCTTCCCCCAAATGAGTTCTCTACAATCACCAAAATATTTGTTATCCTCCACTTTTATTTACTTAGCAGTATCAGGAATCAAATTCAGGGCTTCACTCATGCAAGTCATGTGGCATAACACAAAGCTACATCCCTGCTTTCCAAATTTTAAAACATTTACAGGTATTTTGCGATTTTCCTCTTCAACTAGATTATATAAACTATGTAAGAACAACATTTGTATTTTAGTTATTTATACCCACGTCATGTATAATACCAGCAAATACTTTATAAACACCGGCTGAAAAAAAAGGTAAACATTTTCTACTTCACAGATTTTTAAAGTCATTTTTCTTGGATTCATCATTACTATTACTATTAAAAGTTCAAAACCAAAAAATATTAGGTTTGAATTACTTATCCCCTTCGATAGAGTAAGATAGCTCTTATTAGAACTAAATAAATCTGACTAAAACAGGGAAGACTACTGCTTTCCTCCACTGAAGTTAACCTTAAAGGCATCAACTCTAAAATTAGCACTAATAACTGATGAAAGATTCAGATTCCTATTAGCTAAACTCTGGTGAGGGGGTAAAAGGGCAGCACTTGGAGGGAAAAATAAGAAAATTAACAACACAAGTTTTTAAATCTATTCAAAATATATAAAGTCAATGCCACGGCCTTAAATCAAACCTTATTTCCTTTAGAAATCTGTTCCTTTCCAACCAGTTAAAATTTCTAATCATATTAATAGACGGTATAATGGTTTTAAAACAAATATATTCAATATTAATTTTCAGCACCTGTATACTACCTTCACCTATATTGCCATGTAAAATATTTAAACTAAAGAGTTTCTTTAAACTAAAGAGTTTTTTCCTCTAAATAACTATTGCTTTTCCCTCTATCCTCTGAACCCACAGCTGGTCCCAAAATGATTCATCATTATTTAATCTGCTATGAATTATTTTAGGAAGCTCCTTCTCATGAAATGTTTTTTAAAAACCTACTCCACAGACAGAAAACATTTTTTTAGTTGAAGATAAGTAAATACATGCAAGACCACAATGTATACTATCTCTTAAGTGTTCAGTTCAAATGCTTTATTTCAACTTTTATATTTTTATACTAGTAGATTCTTTTAAGGGATTTTGTGTGTTTATAGTAAGTACACATTATTTTATTAATACACAGATTATGTTATGTAAATTTTATGCGCAAACTTTCTAGGGTAACCAATCCAGAACTCAAAAAGAAACGGACATCCATATTGTGTGCCCATTCACAAGAACACAGAAAGCTTAACACTCAATACAGTACTTTGGCCAGAGATATAGAACCACTAATTGTTGATGTTGCAAACAAAATTAATTTCTGCCAATTCCTTAATGATTAAGACCAGCACATACACAGAATTCAGAGAAAATGTGGGCGCTGAGCATCATTATACAGTGATCTTTAAAAACACTCACCTTCAAATGACTACATTCTACGTTACACAGAGAACACAAATGTGGAAATATTCTTGGAGATGCTGCATAGTAATCATTCATCATAGAAGGAGTAGGAAGTCTCTTCATCTTCTGGGCATCAGCGTGTGAAAACTTTGGTAACCATGATGCTTTCACAATCCCGAAGGGAGACTGAATTGGAGTGTCAGCCTCTGACCGGTAACTCTTTTTACTTCCTCCTGATGATCCATGTACATTAGATGAATTAACCACAGGTTCACGAGAAATTCGATCTTGATGGCTTACAGATGAAATGACTTCTGATGAAAATGGCTGCTGGTTCATAGATGGAGGAATCAAAGACTGACTCATTGTCTGGTTAACTGTTTGGCTAATGGACTGGCTGGCGGATTTTACAGGTTCAAGGACCGAGTGTCCTCCTGAAACATGTAAGCCTGACATCTTGGTTCCACTCTCAATAGGGAAAAATGACTGATTACTGGACTCACTGGGAAAGTCCATGGGTCGAAATACATCTTCAACAGGAAATACAGAATTACATATCACATTTGGAGTGGGAACAGATGAAGAAATGTCCTGTTCTGATTGAAATTCATTTTTCACTTCCTCAGTTGGAATTTCAGGATCATAAATACGAACTTCAAGTGGATCTTCTGTGTAGCCATATTTGCTTGCATGCCCATAATCAATCACATTGCTTGAAACTGAATCACTGCCAAGGGTTTCTTTATTTCTACTCTGAGAAGGCAAATTAGGTAACCGGCGCCCCATTTTTCGCATTCTTATATCCCTCAAAATTAATGGCATATTTTCCGGAGTTAGCTGTTCATCAGGGTAACGACTAAGTTCTTCTAAATCTTCATTAGATAATCCAAAACTTGCCAAGATACTTGAGGCACTCTCTTTTGTATAGCGGCTCTGTACTTTAGGACTCCGCTCTGTAACTTGTGTTACAGAACTCTGTTTCACTCCCACTGATGGAGACAAATGAGATTCATCATCCCACCGGCTACCATGAGGCTTCCCCTTCTTTTGTTGTGCTTCATGAAAATCCAACTTTTCTTTGGTCAATCTTGGATCAGTTCGATGCTGAGTTACCTGAACATTCATTCTTTGTGGTCCCATGTTCTGGTAAGATTCATGGCCAGCAAATCTGTGTGGAATTCCACGGGCTCTCCCTGCTGGGTAAAATCTTGGAAGACCCATAGATCCAGGCCTCATAAATGGTCCTGGAGGCCTCATCCCAGAAGGATTAGGTGCTCGTGGCCTCTGCAGTGGAAAGTTCCCTCGAGGATTAAACCTGGGTCTCGACATGGCTATTTTCAAGAAAGCCTGATTTAATAAAGTATAAGGTGGTGCTGAACTATGTGAGGCAACGGCATTCAGCTGCTGAAGCGCCAACTGAGTCTTAATCTGAGCAAAGTGCAAAGGAGATGGGCCCAAAAGAAGTGGGTTTGCAATGCCCAGGTTCAAGGAATTCACAAGTGGTGCGAAATTTTCCAAGAATAACACAAAGCTGAAAGTTAAAACACAAATATTAGATCATTTTAACTTAAACTAATTCATGAAGTGGGTTCTACAGCCAGTGTAATACATTTTGAAACAAAAACCAGGAAACCACTCTGTATTTCATACAAGAGTAAGCGCTTACAAGAATTTTGTTTCCCAAAAATGTTCTCTTCTCTTCTCTCCCAAATACAGAACAAACCCCCAAACTCAAACCAGAGTTCATGTAGATTGTGCTGCACTGGGTGCTGTCCTAGGTGCTGAGTCGTAATTACAACTCCTTTTAAATAATTTGGAAAACATTGAAATCTCATGCTTTAGTACTAAAAAAAAAAATGAAAGTATTAAAATATTTTTAAATGTACACACTTCATATGTATTTTATCATATGTACAATCAACGAAAGCAGGAATGGTAAGCCTAAAATTTTACAAGGCTGTTTTCCAAGACAGTCTTCCTCATAATCACATTCATAAATTAAACATAACTTAGTTTTGTGTCATTAAACAGCTGTTTATGATGAAACTGACACCACTAACTTGACTACAATATCTGACATATCATGGGATTGGTAACAATATAAAACCTAATGTAACAAAAATCATATGCCTTTCTCTTGGATTCCTTCCAGAGGGAGAGCATAGACAAGTCCTATCAATCATAACAATGATAAATTTTAAAAAAACATCATCCATACGTTGATTACAGCACTTCACAGGAATTGAGTAAATTCATTCACATAACCCCTTTGATACAGTTTTACAGAGTCAGGAATTAAGGCACCAGGAAATTAAGAAATTTAGAGTGGTAAATCCTCAGATTTGCACTTATAGCTTGTAATATACACTGCTTAGCATCAGTGCGAATAACAATATTCCTAAGTCCCCAAACAATTTGATGAGACCATTTAATGCCCAGTCCAGGAACAAATCACACCAACCCACTCTTCAGAGAAAAAGTTAGCTATCATTCAGGACCACAGTCAGCAGCTTTACAGAAAAGCAGGTTAAAAAATGTGAACTTTTGAAGCATCTGTCTACTACATAACCCCCAAAACTAAGCATCCCATGTGGTACTCATAACTTTCTGGTACAATGTACGATTTCATCTATAACTTATATTTTATTAAAATTTGTATTTGATGTCAGTGAAATGTTAATCTGGCTAAAAAAATGTACTTTATCTTAACTCTTTTAAACTTTTACATGTGGGGACCACATTTAATCTAAGAAACAGAACATTTTCACTTCATTTCACTAATGCAGTGATCACATTCACTTCTGTGATCACTGCATTAATGTGATCTTTTTACTTAACTCTATTATTGAAGTCCAATCAACCTAGCCAACAGTGCTATATTCCTATTTCTATGAGCATGTATCACAGTTTGGCCTTTCTTCTATTCTTTTCTTTCTTGTCCCACATCCATCTCTTTTAATCAAAACAATATCCTGGGGCTGGAGTAATAGTACAGTGAGAAGGCTGTTTGCCTTGCAGGCTGTCTATCCAAGTTCAATCCCTGAGCATCATCTGGAGTAATTCCTGAGTGCAGAGCCAAAAGTAACCACTGCGACTCGCCAGGTGTGACCCACAAACCAATAAATCATTATCCTGGTCCTATAAGACTTGATTTTATTCATTGTCAGTCTCTATTATTAAACCTTTCTAGTGAGCGAATCTTTCAATAAACATTCTTATTCACTGTTTGTACCATTTTGAGACTCAATCTTTTTACTATCTTATGTTTGTGTTAATGTCTAGTCTTTGTCAACAATCCTGTGTGCAATATAATGCCTAGTATCAATCCTAAAAAGTAATTGCTTTGAGTAAGCAGTATGTCATCTACATATTCAAACATTATAGTGTATACATTCTTTACATACATACATATACATATGTGTGCATTCCATGTATGTACGGTGTATATAAATTTTATGATGTATGTTTTTCCCTACTGGTCACAAATCCACTCACAAGTTTGGGAGCAAAAATTCTCTGTCTTCCCATTAAGAAATAAAAAGAAACAGATTTCAATTAGTCATCTAATTAGTACACAGGTTGGAAGGTTCTAGATTTTCAAGACTTCAAAAAGCAAAAATAGCTCTATGTATTTCCTAATATAGTTTGTCTTACACTGAAAAATATATAGAGTGCAAGAATTATTTTACAGAATTTATATACTGCACTTCATAAACTATGTACCCTTCAGGAACTACTGTTCTTTTGTAAGAGTCTGTCTTCCACAAAGAAACTCCCTGGTTTAAGTCTGAAAAGCAAGTACCTGCTACCCTACTTAGGGAATATATCACCTACTAATATCAAACAGTGAGGTACCCTGTATATCAATGTTTTTCACCTCTATACTTCCCAAACTTGAACTTTTTAATGAATATGCCCAGAGATGATATTTTAATCATTTAGCTAATTGGTAAATTAACGATCTATTGTTAGAAAAATATTTGTGCCTGTGCACAAACAGGCCTTGTCTCTCAGTTCTCGCTTCACATGCTGCTCCCTCCCCGCTGCTCCCCCCCACATAAAAAAGTATGCAGTTGTAGCATGACGGTATTAGAGCAAATCCTCGGGGGGGGGGGGGGACAGAAAAAGCACACTTTTGGGTCAGCTGCTACTTACTAACTAGGGCAATTTATATCCATATTATCTGGATATTATCTGGCACTATCCAGATAAGAGAGACTAAGTTAAAATGCCATATTCGCAAGTTGCATAGCTGTATTATTAAGTATCGATACTAAAGCAATGTCTTCCTTTCACAGAACAATCTGGAATACACATGAAGAATGAAAAGATCTTTTTCTAATTAACAAATTTCAACTATCAGTAAGCAGAGGTATTGTCTTATCTGAATTCGGAAATCTTTTTTTAAAAATGACATTAGGGGCCAGAGACCCTAGTACAGTGGCTAGGATGCTTGCCATCACAGTCTACCCAGACTGAATCCCTGGCATTCCATATGGTCCACTGAGCTCATCAGGAGTGATACCTGAGTACAGAGCCAGGAGTAAGCCTTGCACATAGCCAGATGTGGTCCAAAAAATAATAAAAATAAATAAATAAATAATCCTCAGAGGTTGAAGTCAGCACTTAACTTTTATCCCCAAACTCCTTGCAAATCTGTGAACGTGGGTCACTCCTGGCTGTGCTCTGTACGACGGGGCGACCATATAGAGTCAAAGAATGAACCTGGGCCTCCTGCATACATAGTACATGCTCAACTTTGAGTACCCAAATATCTGGCTTTTAAAGTTTAACATTTTATTTTGCACCTAGGAATATTTTCCTAGTAACCCACTAATATAAAATCACTAAACAGGCCCAAAGAGCTAGCACAATGATGTAACTGTCTTGCATGTGGCTGACTCTGGTTCATCCCTGGCATTCTATATGGTGAAATCACTCCGGAGCCTGCCTGTCAGGAGCGATTCCTGAATACAAAGCCAGGCGTAAGCCATGAGCACCACTAAGTATGAATCCTCCCAAAGGTTTATCTACAATCTAGATACCAAATAATGTTATCATAAATTATTTTCTAAAAAGCAAATGTGTGGGGCCGGGGAGGGGAGAGGGGGGTGCTACACCTGGGCGTTTGCTCAGAGAACCATATTGTATGCCAGAAATAAAACCTGGATTAGTCAGATACAAGCAAGCACTCTACCTGCTGTACTATTCCTCCAGCACCTCATTTTCAAAATTTAAGTTTTTGGGGTTTTTTTTTATGAAAAGTTTAAGAAGTCTAGTCTATTCATATTTCATGTACATAATTTTACATGGGAACCATTTATTCAGAAAATGCTTTAATCTTCTCAAGTTCACATTCACATTCATTCTAAAATGTTTTGCTAGTAAGAATGCTTGGAGCTGTTATTTCTAGCTATCTATGAAGTTTTATAAATCTCTTCTGCAATTATATACTTCTAAAACTGTTTCTCTGAATCTCATTTTTCTTGGGGTAGGTGAAGGGGCTGGACCACACCAACAGATGCTCAGAGTTTACTCCTAGAAGGCTTGGGGGACATTATGGGATGCTAGGGATCAAATTTAGGGTGACCGTGTATAAGGCAAACGTCCTACCTATTATAAGATTTCTCCAGCGCCTCTCCAAATTAAAGGCAGTTTATAGTAAAGCTCCACCATCAGCATATTTTCTTCCCTTGTTTTATTTTTGGGGTCAAAATGCTGCTGAGGTGGGATGTATCACCCCTAGCAGTGCTCAGAAGACCATGTGAGGACCATAAAAAGCAAGAAAAGCTCCAGCTCTTCAAACTATCTCCCTTTTGCTTCGGCCCTATCAATGTCCCAGAACACCTACTTGCGAAAAAGTTAGTGAGCTAAGGACAAGAATTTATGGCCTTATTCAATTCATGGAAATAGAATCCCAGAATCAACTACAGGTCACTGCTATTATTTGAAACAAAACAATCAAAAAAAGCAACAAAAACCTAGATAGGCTTAAAAATACAGGAGCTTCTAAAACAAAGTTCCTGATAAGAAACGTGATTAAGAATTGTTATGCCACACCAAACAACTCTCTTCTGAGAATATTGTAATCTGAAAATAATGTGCTAAGAACAATAACCAGTAAAGCAAGAGCAAGTTCGGCATTAACACCTGGAGAATAATCAAAGTAATGGTAACCAGTATAAATTCTTTCTTATATAACTTCGCAATCTCTAGTCAAGAAGTTCATTCACCTTCACTGATTTGTGGATAACAAACGTACAAAATCTTTAAATTTGAAAATTTTTACTTCTCTCATTTGAAAATAATTACACTTAAATATTAAACTTCAAAAGGAACTTTTTTTTTTACTCATTAGGTAATATCCTTGTTATAACAAAAAGTTGTACAAGAAATTCTTACCAATAAGTGTATCAGTATTTTTCTTCTAGTTTTTTTGTACATGCACGCATAAGTGGTTAGAAAAGAAAAGATAGATACTCTCAACCAACATATTTTTCAAAAACAGGATGAATTATTTGGATTTGTTGG